AGACCAGAAGACAGAGCAGTATGAACTAGTGGTGGGCACAGCAACATCTCCAGGAAGCTCAGCCTCTGTTCCAGAGAGCTCCAAACACCGAGGACTGGGTAACCAGATGCCCCAGGAGGCAAAGGGATCAGGCGAGAGCGGGGTTCCCCGATTCCTGACTATGGCCTGGGTGTCCTTATTAGGACCAACTGTAAGGAAACCCTCATGCTGATATCTACTGATGACTCCATCCCAGTGGATCCTACTACCCAGCCCAGCCCCAGCACCTCACACCGCCCTGAGCAGACAGGCCCTAGGAAGCCCCTGAAGATTCTCCAGCTAGCTTACAGAAACATGGCTACTTCACGATCACCTGGGAGTTGCTTTTATTTTATTTTATTTAGTTGGGGTCTTGCACTGTTGCCCAGGCTGGAGTGCAGAGGCAGGATCACAGCTCACTGCAGCCTTGATCCCCTGGCTTTGAGCAATCCTCCTATCTCAGCCAGCCTCCCCAGTAGCTAGGACTACAGGTGTGCCATCATGCATGGCTTATTTGTGTATTATTGTAGAGACGGGGTTTTACCATGTTGCCCAGGCTGGTCTCAAACTTCTGGGCTGAAGAGATCCACCTGCCTCAGCCTCCCCAAATGCTGGAAATACAGGTGTGAGCAACCATGTCAGGGTGGAAGTTGCTTTTAAATGCAGATTCCCAGGCACCATTTGTACTGATCCTGGTTTGTGAGATCTAGAGCAGCCAATAAGAACCTGAGAGTCACGGCTCGGAAGTGCGGTGAGTGAGAGTGAGCCTCACTGGAGAGGCGATCCAGAGAAGCAGACCGCCGGATGAAGCCAGGGCACAGCCTGAGAACAGCCAGGGAGTAAGGCAGCACCCACTGGGGAGCTGAGATGTAGAACAGTCCCGTCTCTGCCCAGAGACCATGAGAACCACAGTGTACACCTCACCTGTTGTTTTTTTGATTCTCCATTTGATTCGGAAGTGGGGGCTGAAATAAAGGGGAAGCCTGAGTCTCTTTCCATCAGGAAGGGAAAATAGTAATGATAATGGCCAGCATTTATCCATGTTTGTTATGTGGCAGGCCCTGCGTCTAGTGCTCTACACAGAGTATGACATCTGATGATTTTGACAAGTCTGTTAGGAAAGTCTTGTAATCGTGCTTGAGTATGCAGTGAGGACATTGACACCTCAAAGGTTAAGAGTCCTGCAGTCCATGCTGCGGGTCATGAGGAGTGGAGTGGGCTGGGAATTAGGTGTACTGGCTGCAGGTGATGAGTCTTTACAGCCTCCTCCAGGTGGTCGTTGAGAAGGTTCTGACCCGGGCCATCTCTCTCAGCCCTGCTGGGAGGTAGTGAAGGGGAGGTAACATCTTAGCTCTCCACTCTTAGGGCTTTTCAGCTGGGCCTGAGAATTAAACTCACATAAGACAAACAGGAGAGAAGCACACTAATTTAGTGCAAGGTTTACATGATGCAAGAGCCTTCATAAGGAGTGGAAACCCAAAGAAACAGCAAAACCCAAGTGCTTTTACGCTGGGCTGAACAAAGAGAGGCAACTGTAGAAAAGTAAGCAAACTATGTGGGGAGGCTTGGGAAGACAAGAGTGATTTTGACAAAATCTGTTTGTACAGAATTCTCTTGGTCTCGGTGTCCCATCCTTGATGATCTCAATGGTGCCTTCCTCTGGTACGGGGAGGACATCCTCTACGCGAGGCTTTTATTTCCCACTTTCAAGAAGGAGAAAAAGAGGGTCGGGGCACCCGTCTTCCATCTGTTATTTTTTATGTGCCTTTAGCTCAAAATAACCCTTATGCCATAGCTGCATAGTTTGGGGTGACATATTCTGCCACCCTTCAGTAGGAAGTTTGGGTGGCAGGTGCCTCCCTGGGGACTGCTCCATTTCTTTGTGTCACTGACCACCTGGATTATATATGTGGCCAGGTGGCACCATCTGCCTCACACTTGCAGCACAGGGAAAGATTTTCCGGGATGCCGACCACTTTTTATCATCCTGGTAACAAGCTCCAAGGTCAGAAATATAGAATGGGATTCATCAACCCCTGACCTTCTATCCTTTGCCAGCAAGAAATTTCTTCCTTGACCTCCACTCTGAGAATTAAAACAGATGTGGCTAGATTAACTGAAATTCTCTCTAACTCACCACACCTGCCAGCAGTACTGTGTCACCCGTGACCAGCAGGACCCCAGAGCAAAACAAAAATGCAAAGCAGCTTGTTCAAAAGGCAGGAAAAAAGCACTGTTCAAGGGACTAAACTAGAAAAAGCTTTTCCCTTTCTTCTGAAGCCTCTCTTTTGGCCTTTTTATTTGCTAATGTCATTTTTAAGTAGAGGGAAATCAAAATTTTTAATTATTAGTATATATTTTACCATTCATCTTAATGTTGTATATGCCCATTTTAAAGGCAACTGTAAGAGCATTTAACTCATATGTTGAGTCACTGAAATGACACAACTTGTGTTTCATAGTTCTCGTACATATTTTGTTTTTACCAGAACATTGGAAACATTGCACAAAACTAACAGCTCTTCATTTTGTTTCTTGATACGGGCACATTCTACCCATATTCTCCACCTTCTGCTCATGGATGGGTGAAGAAGCTCTGAGAGGAAAAGATATACTAATTTAGGGGTCAGAAAGGGGCTGGTGGGGTTCCTTGGTGGTTCCTGTTTCTTAGAACATCATTGCCTTCTGTCTGCATCTGAAGCAGGTTCTGGTTCAAATGGGAGTATATCTTCTCAGGACCGTCAGCCCCTGCTTACTCAGTTGAAGACACAATACGCTTTCCTCGTATTGGCTCTGAGTCTTGCGGAGTTAAGTGTGAATATTGGTGATGAAGAGCAGCCCACATGAGCATTCCACAGGCCCCTCTGTTCACACGTAGGCCTCACTGTCCTGTCCGGCTTCACTTACAATACACAATTTTGAGAGAAATTTATTTAGAATTTCAAGATGGCAACAGAATAGTGCCAAACCAGACGCTGGGTCTCCCCAAGCATGGGCTAGTTTAGTCGCACGCCTGTGAAGCTGGCTCTGGTGATAGCATTATAGCCAACTCAGGGGTGGTTTGAGGGGAGGAGTGGAAATTGGGGCAAATCACTCTGCATGCCCGTCCCCATTAACATTTCCTGCAGGTGAAGGTCAAGATGGTCATGGAGGGCAACTTCTGGGGTCTCTCTGAGAGAGGGGTAGCACCCAGCCCTGTGCACCCTGCCCACTGTGGGTAGCAAAGATCAGAGCTGGCATCTGATAGTGTGCACGTGAGGCTCCCAGCTGGAGGCACTTGCAGCCTTAGATCTCTTCTCCTCTAGAGAAGACAGTTTCCCAGAGAAATCCCAGATCTTTGACAATTCAAAACTGCGAAGGACCTTGCAGATTAAGCCAGGTACAGAGAGCTCTGTATAAATATAGAAACCCCAACTCAAGCTGGCTTAAGTAGCAAAGGGCATTTATTGGCTCCTATAAATGGCAAGTCCAGAAGTAGTGTAGCATCAAGGGTGGTGTGATTCCATGGGTGACGAATGTCACTGAGGACCCAGTTTCTTTTACTTCTCCTCTTGCCTCCCAGACGTTGGCCTCATTCATAGGCTGGCTTCCCCTCATGGTGACAAGAAGGCTGCCAGTCACCCCCAGAGTGATTCAGTTCCTCACCAGTGGCTGGGGGGGAGAAACCTTGTTTCTGGAAGTTCTGTCAGAAGAGTGAGAAAGCTTTTTCCTGACTCTCAGTATATCTCCCAGTATAAGTCATAAGCCCATCCACTAATAACATATCCAGGGAGTGGGACTCTGCGGGTTAATTGAGGGTGAAACTTCATGCCCTTTTCCAAGGCCAGGGTGGGGTCAGCTTTTGCCAGGGCACATAAATGGCACAGGAGAACAGGGAGGTCGGGAGGTGGGGGCACCTGAAAATAATTGAGGTGATGACCTAGAGAGGAAGGAAGAGACACTGCAGAGGCTACCATGACATTCACTCAGAGATCCTCTCTCTGCTGTCAGGATGACAACAGGACTCAGCAGAAAACCCAGACGTGATGCTGTCAAGAGTTTGAAAGAGGGAACTAGGAGGTAGACCTACCCAAGAGGCATTCGAAATAATACTTCCAAGAAACATGCTGGCCAAGCAAAACCTATATCTGCAGTCTATTTGACAGATGAGGAAACCAAGAAGCGAAGCAGTAAAGTAATTGCCTAATCATCAAAGTTGCCATACACTGAATCCTCATGCGTGCATCTGCCACCACATTCTACAGAAGAGGAAAACAGGGCTTCAAGATGGTCAACGAATTTGCCCAAAGCCACATGGCCAGTGAGTGACAGGGCCAGGATTTGCACCCAAGGCTGTGTAGCCCCCATTCCTCTGTTCTTTCCCAATGTCTAAAAGTTGAATTGGTGGCATGAGCAGAAAGAAAAACCCCAAGCCAGTTCAAATCTCTATTATACTGTGTGTCAGCAAGAAGTTTTAGGAGGCCACCTAATGTCATGGGCTATGGAATAGATATCCAAATGAATGGAAAGGGAAAACGATTTTGTGAAGCAAATACTTTAAGTGGTAAAGTGAGTTGTCAGTGAATTTTATCCAGGGAAGAGAAGAACCATCTGCCCAGGATACAGGCCCCCAGGAAGCACAGGGTGGATCCTGCCTGGCTCAGTGGATGCCGGCAGCTTCTGGCGTCCTGGCACGGGCACAGTGGCAGTTTATAAACTCCTTTTCTATAAGCTGTCAGACTTGGAGAGGGCCTGCAGGAAATCTGGATCTTGGTATTGGCAGAGTGATGACGAGAGATGTTGAGCTCTCTGAGAAATGCAGGTCTTGGCTTGCATCCACCATGTGGGAGCCCCAGGCGAGCTGCGACCTTCTCCTCCCGTCTGCTGACTTGCCACTGGAGAGAAGGTCAGGTTTCACAGGATGCTTAAGAAACTGCAGTGAAGAGGAAATGCCAGGGTCTGTGTGTTTCTAATCCAGTGCCTGCCCCTTCTTCTCCTTGCAGCCTGCTTCGTTTTTGTGCTCTGCGCTTTCCTGGCTCTGCCGCTGTCCATGGCCTTCATAGGTAAGCTGCCTGCCGAGCTATTGGATGCCACAGGTCAGCCAGGTTGGGGCATGGGCACACGGCATGTAATCTTTAAACATTAAATATGTGTTTAAGAACTGGCCAGCTCGACGATTCCCAGACACCTATGTGCCATCTCAGAATGACTTGGGGAACATTTGAAAATATGCATTCCTGGGGCTCACCCTGGGAGATATCGATGCAATGTGTCTGGGTAGGGACAAACTCCTGCTTTTAGAAATCTGTCCCCAGATGCTTCTGATCCCTCTAGCCCAAGTTTGGAAGTGACGGGACTAGAGGTTTCCCAGAGTCGCTTCCCAGTTCCTGTGTTCCCTCGTGGAAGCAGGTTGCAAGCAATACAAAAAGTGCAGCTGGCACCAGGTGACGTGTGGGCACTCTATACACGTTTTTTTGCTGAATTAATGAATAAATATTTCCATAAATCATGCCTACTAAACCTCATAACCCAGAAGTGTGATATCTTGCAGAAGTGGGGAGAGGGGCAGGATAGGGGAAGCTCCTTGAGTAGCTAAAAATTGTTATCACATGTCAGTGAAATTAATCTTATGCTCTGAACATTGCTAACAGGAGCCCCTGAGCCCCGTGTACAAAACATAGCTACCCCTATTTACCTAGAAGCCTCGCATGGCGGGGCACGGGGGCTCACACCTGTAATCCCAGCATTTAGTGGGGCTGAGGTGGGCCGATCACTTGAACCCAGGAGTTTGAGACTAGCCTGGGCAACATAGTGAGACCTTGTCTCTACCAAAAAATGCAAGTCTTGACTTAGAAATTAGCTGGGTGTGGTGGCGTACACCTGTAATCCCAGCTACTCGGGAGACTGAGGTGAGATGATCGTGCCACTGTACTTCCGGCCTGGGCATCAAGAGTGAGGCACTGTCTTCTCCCCAAACGTCCTTCAAAAAAGAAGCTCAGCAGGCCCAGAGTTCTAGGTCCAAGCTCACAGCATACTAACGCATAAAGTAAAAGGGCGTAGAAATTATTGCAAAACAACAAAACACCCAGTACCCTAATTGCTTAATGGGTAGGAGGCTTCCTTCTAAGGTGATGAAAATGTTTTTGAACTGGATAGAAGTGGTAGTTGCACAACATTGTGAATCCACTAAATGCCACTGAGTTATTCACTTTAAAATGGTTTATTTTGTTATGTAAGTTTCACCCTACCACCCCTGCCAAAAGCCACAATACTAAAAATGGAAAGAAAAACAGTGTCCTTAGATCTATAAGACATGAAAGCTGACAGCCTGACAAGAAGTAAAAAAGGGCCGGGCGCGGTGGCTCACGCCTGTAGTCCCAGCACTTTGGGAGGCCGAGGCGGGTGGATCACGAGGTCAAGAGATCGAGACCATCCTGGTCAACATGGTGAAACCCCGTCTCTACTAAAAATACAAAAATTAGCTGGGCATGGTGGCGCGTGCCTGTAATCCCAGCTACTCAGGAGGCTGAGGCAGGAGAATTGCCTGAACCCAGGAGGCGGAGGTTGCGGTGAGCCGAGATCGCGCCATTGCACTCCAGCCTGGGTAACATGAGCGAAACTCCGACTCAAAAAAAAAAAAAAAAAAAAAAAAAAAAAAAAAAAAGAAGTAAAAAAGAAGATTTTAAGGTTTGCAGAGAACTAAAACAACCAAGTAGTCTGGGGCCATTTAGTGTAAGAGTGAACAATGCAATCACTTCAGCAGGCCCTGGTGCTATGATGCTTATAGTGCAATTCAAAAATTAACATTTATCATGAGGCTCTGTTCTTCCAAGCAGAGTTCACAAGATGTTAGGCATACCCTGCTTAGGAAGTTGGGCGTACCCTCCAGAGGACATTCTATGCAAATCTGTAAGGTAAGAGAACCCCAGCCTTTGGACCATGTGGTTAGTTATCTTTTGTTTTCTTTAGAGACAGGGTCTCCTGTCGCCCAGGCTGGAGTGCAGTGGAGTAATCTTGGCTCACCCCAGGATCTGCCTTTCAGGCTCAAGCAATTCTTATGCCTCAGCCTCCCTAGTAGCCGGGATTACAGGCGCCCACCACCACGCCTGGCTAATTTATGTATTTTTAGTAGAGACAAGGCTGGTCTTGAACTCCTGCCCTCAACTGATCTGCCCACCTCGGCCTCCCAAAGTGCTGGGATTATAGGCATGAGCCACCGTGTCCTGCCAATTATCTTTCAAATGAACTTAACTGCAACAATTCATCCACCAATAAGGCTGCATAAAAGGGACAAGACCCTACAAGCCAGTTCCTATGGATATTATATTAAGATCACCACATCCACTGTAGAAAGGGGTTTTTGGAGTGTTAATGTTTATGGAGCAATATTGGTTATAGAGTTTGTGTTTGGGTGATGGAAACATTTTGGAAATAGATAGTGGTGATAGTTGCGTAACATGATGCACGTAATTATACCGATGAATTGTACACTTAAAAATGGTTAAAATGACAACTTTTGTTGAGATATTTTATCACAATAACAAATATTTTAAAAATTGCTACATCTGGTAGTTGTTGTCTGAACTGGGGAGAGATCTAAAGGCAAAGGGAGTAATCGTGATACTGCAGGTCAGACAAGAAAGAAAATCTCGAGGTAAAGTAGGTCTTAAGCAGTACGTGAGAACACAGGGGGAAAGATGGCTTTTATTAAATTTATTAGGATCGTTTTAAGCCATCTGTGCACGGATTGACTCTCCTGTGAACAGCAGCTGTTTTTATTCATCGAGAATGAGCAGATATCAAAGCCATTACTCAATGTTCATTTCACAGCTGGCCTTTGAATTGAAAGGTAGTCCATGTCCAACAAATTTGGCACCAAGTACTTAAAGGTGTTTGTGTGAAAAGGCTGTGTTGAGACTTGGAAAGTATTTTCATTTAATAACGAATTCGGCTAAACCTCAGAGATAACTAAAAGACAAGCCTCTGCTCGTTGATGATTGGATCAGTGTGTATATTTGACTAAGCTCTGTTTTGGGCCTGAATTTATGGCTCTCTGTGTACCAAGAAAATTTTGTTCATGTCAATGGAATATGGTGTAGTCATAGAAAAATGGCTTACTCCCTCTGCTTAAGCATCAAGGCACTTATGGGAAATAAAATGTCAAATCAAAGCTAAAAGTCTAAATGTCATTTAAACAGGAGGCTTTGGTTCTACAGTAAGAATTCTTTTCCTTGGTCTCTGTTGACAAATGTATTAGTCAGGGTAACTTAGCTGTACTATAGTCACAAATTAACCCTGGAATCACAGTGACTTGACACTATAGGGGCTTATTTCTTGCTTATGCAAATTCCATCGTGGGTCAGGGGGCATGGGGACTTCCCAGGCAGTGTAATGACATAATACTCCAAGCTGCTTCAATCTTGAGAACTAGCCATCTCCACCCATGGCTTCCAGGTGGTCAAAGTAGAGGAAGCAAACAACAAATCATGTATCAGTTTTTAAATGCTCATGCCTGTAATCCCACCCTTTGGGAGGCCCAGGCAGGAGGATCACTTGAGCCCAGAAGTTTGAGACCAACCTGGGCAACATAGTGAGTCCGCCTTCTATACAAGAAAAAAAAAAGAATTAGCTGTGCATAGTGGCACATCCCTGTGATTCTAGATATTCAGGAGGCTGAGGTGGGAGGATCGCTTGAGCCTGGGAGGTTGAGGCTGCAGTGAGTTACGACTGAATCATGCCACTGCACTCCAGCCTGGGCAACACAGTGAGACTCTGTCTCAAAAATAATAAAGAAGTAAATGCTTTGGCCCCAAAGTGTCCCACGGCCCACTGGTCAGAATTGGTCAGACTGTCTTGCTACCCAGGAAGGGAGGTGGGCAATGTGGGAGGCACATGCTGGGCAGTCAGTGTCTCCCACAGCAAAGACGTGTGTTAGAATCCATCTGGAGCCTGGTTGTTTGAGCCAGACTGGGCCCTGAGGGAAATGGGCATTTCTTTATATTTTAAATAGACACACCATATCATCAGTTAATAATAGGTCTAGAGAACAAAGACCTGAGAAAAGTAGACAGAACATTGCTTTGGAGAGAAAAATTACCATTAAGAAAGGGTAGGCGTTTGGGTAGGCTGGCTTGTGAGTACTCTGCATCTGGTTGCTAAGGATATATGAGTTCACGTGCGTTTCCCAGCGTGGGGTCCAGCCAGTGACATGGTCAATGGTGATCATATGGTGACTGTGACTAACACAGCAGAGGGCTCACTGCACAAGGAGGAAGAGCAGCTCCTCCCTGCCACCTGCCACCTGGCCCCTGGAAGCAGAGTAGATGAGAGCCTCATTCACACAGAGTCACATTTTGGAAACGTGACTCCTAAATTGAATCTTATTTTAAGCATATCAAGGAAACTGTATATTGAATCCTGAATCCTTGAACACTTGAGTTCGCATACACTGGCTTTTCAGACGAGCAGAGTTCAACCCATAGCCAGTTAATACCCAGAAAAAAGGTGCAGTGACACCTGGTCCTTGCCCTATCTGCGGGAGGATTTATCACCACTCCTCTGTGAGAGCCAGTTCTGCGGCGTCAATCCACTGAGCGTCCTGAGGGTCAGGTGACTGGTGAGGCTGAGCAGATCCTACAAGCATATGGTTTGCATGATGAACATTTTGGCTTTCGAAGGTGTTCCACTCATTTTCAAAACCGGGCTTTGTGCTCTTGAATATCTTTCTCTCAATCCTCCTCTGTTTGCCCTATGTAGGAATGAAGTTTTTGGAGGACTGCCCCATACAGCCCCTCATTCCTTTATATTTGCTAGTGGGTGGCATCGTCGGTACCTTAAAGGTAAAGTATCTCTATCTGTTGTTCGTAGTCCTTGTAGAAATTTAACTCGCAGGCATCCTGGAATGCATCTGTTACTTGCTTGCTACTCGCAGGGGAGCCAGAATAACTTCCCTCTAAGCATGGTTGCTGAAGTGATGGGGCTGGCTCCGGAGACACAGATTTTTCCAGATGCAGGGCGTTTACCCAGGGCCGTGCCTCTTTGCCAGAGCTTCCTTCCTGCTGTCGAGTTCAATGTACTAAGCTGTGGCTTTCGTCTGACAAGAGCTGATGCAGAGGAGTCCCTGACTGACTCCTGAATTCAGCCAATGAAATCATGGCCTTTCTTTGTACTGTTACTGCTTTTGTTTTTGTGGGCGGAAGCTTCTTGTTGAGGGCAGCATTTGTATTTGGTTAAAATATGCTTCATTTTGCAGTTCCGATTTCTGCTTTTAATGATACCTCTTAGTTCTCAATCGACTAACATAGGATTAATTGGCTGCAGTTATCAATCAACTGTTCGAGTATACTTGTGTCTGGGGTGGGAGTGCTTCTCTGTGACTCTCAAGCTTATGTAACTGATCTGCTCCTGGGCTGTATTGACATTTGTTTAAACAGGAAAAGCAACTGAAGAAGAAATATCAGGGGTGTGCATAGCCGGCAGTTGTTTTCAAGATCTCTGGCCCACAGAAATGTTACACCTACCAAGAGAAGCTTAGATCAGCCTCCGGCTGTCAACAACTCTTCCCAGCCTTCCAAACCCACCTCACTACTTCCTATATCAGAGCCAGCAAACACGAGCATTCATTTTCCCAGGTGGTTTCATAAAAACAAAGCAGTAACACGAGAAAACCGTGTCAAGAGTGCCAAACGTGGACTTCCATTCGGACCCACTGTCGGGTTTCTTTGCCAGCCGCCTTCTGCTGCGGGGATCCTTCGAGAGATCCTGGCCAGTGGTGCTGGTCACGCTGTTGATCTAAGACATCAAAGGAATGTCTTAAAAATTGCAGTTCTCATATGCAATCAGTAGCCACAAGCTCAACTCTGTGGTGGGAGACGTCTGATTTGGGGCAAACCTTTGTTATTTATTTATTTATTTAAATTATACTTTAAGTTCTGGGGTACATGTGATGAACGTGCAGCTTTGTTACATACGTATACACATACCATGATGGTTTGCTGCATCCATCACCCCATCATCTACATTAGGTATTTCTCCTAATGCTATCCCTCCCCCTACTCCCCCACCCTCTGCTATCCCTCCGCTAGCCCCTCACCCCCCGACAGGCCCCGGTGTATGATGTTCCCCTTCCTGTGTCCATGTGTTCTCATTGTTCAACACCCACTTATGAGTAAGAACATGCGGTATTTGGTTTTCTGTTCTTGTGTCGGTTTGGGGCAAACCTTTGGAGGCTTTTGTGTCTGAGGTTACCTTGCTGTTAAAAGCCCCCATCTCCTGACAGCAGCCTGGTGGGCAGTGTCCTAAAATGTACAAATACACACGATCGTCCTCATCACAACATCCCGTGGGATCTACCTGGGACTCTGTTCAGCTCCAAGGAAACCCAAAAGGGCTTGGCTCAGCGGGGCCACATTTTCCCCATGGCCCCCACAGTGTTAAGGAAAGGCTCTGACAGTTTGAGTGCCATAGAGATGCTCAAATCAAGGACAACGTTTCCAGCAGTAATTACTTCTGCCCTCCCGTTCTCACTCCACTACCTCATCATCAGGCTGCTGAGCGGAGCTTTCCTTTAGAGATATTACTGTCCATGGGGTCTGTTCCTCCTAATAACAGCAAACTTTTCCTTTCTGAAGGCCAGCCCAGGACCCAAAGGTAATTTATTTTAATGAACAAACTAAGGCCCTAATAAGCAGCATTGATTTTTTTCCCTGGCAATTTAAAACCGTTTGAAGCCAAATTAAGTTTTTGTGCTCATGATGGCAAGATAATATACAGTGAGTCCATAACCATTAGAGCAGCGGCAAACAGGGTTAGAGTTCCCAGAGGCAGAAGTTTACCTGAGATGATGATGGTTTGTATTCAACCACAGAACCTACCTATGCGTTCCCAGCATCCTTAGTGAAATGCATCAGATAGCTTCACAGTATTGCATTCTATGAAGAGAAACTTGAAGAGACGTGAGCTGACATTTCCTGGAGCTCCCAAAAAGAACTGAGGGTCATGACCCATTAGAAGATTAGGAAATGAATTAAGTAGGTTGTGACCCACTTTAAAAAAAAATAAAATAGAAAGAGTGCTTAGTAGGTTAAGCAATGTGTGATACTTACACATGGACATGTGTGTTTGGGAGAGTTGACCATATAATTTATCACCCTAACTGGGACACTTTGGAGAGTACAAAGGGGGCTCTAGTAATCATCCTGTCAGAACAGCAGTGTAAACCAGGACTTCTCTAAGCCAACAGGGACATTCAGTTGCCCTGTTACTAGGACTTGACATCAAATGTATTTGTTACTGAAGGTTGTGTTAAAGAGAGTTTCCACAAAATGGAATCAGTGACCATTGCCTACCCTGTGCCCCTCATCTTCCCACAGCACCCTTCTTAGTGGTGAGCCTAGTAGCTCACTAGGCTACCCCTAGTGAGCACGTGCTTTTTGCTGGGACCATGCTGACAGCTCTGCCCTCATTTGGAACCCATTCAGTCCTCACCATGCCCCTTTGAGGCAGGTACTTGCTTCAGGAAGGATTCTTTGACTATAAGGGACCAAAAAAAATCAACTCTGGCTAACTTAAGAGGTAATTGATTGGAAGAGCTCACAACTTCAAAGGATCGTGGGAGAGAAGGGGGTCAGGTGGCTCCAGAAAGCCTGGGCAGTGGGATCCACTTGCCACGGCTCTCCTGGGGCTGATTCCTTTCTCCTGGCATCACTGTAGCCAGGAACTAGTCCTGGGAGGGCAGCCAGATCTGTGGACACGTGGCAGGTAGCAGGGGAGTTCCTCCAAGGAATGGGTCCCTGCAAGGAAGGGAAATGCATCTGAGTGAAGGAAACTTGAGCTGGACTCTCAGTTCCAGCTTACAGTGAGGAAACGGCAGAGCTAGTATTCAACCTGGGCTTGCCCAAGCACACAGTTACCATCAGCCAAGTACTGCAGTCAGTTGGCTTTTTCCCTACCCTAAACCCACCATGCTTTACCTTTGTCACATCACTGTTCTTCAGAGGAGGACCCTCATACCTCTCCTTGTGCATAGGGGTCCAAAATATGCCCCCTCTTCCAGGAAGCCCTCCCTGGATGAGTCAGCTCTACAATGGGTGGCTCTCTGAACTCCCCTAACACCTTACTTTCCTTTTCTTGCGGAGATATTCTGCCTCCCAGCCAGGCTGCAAGTCTTAGGAGACAACCCTCCAACTTAATTTCCTCCGATTTCAACATCAGTGTACTGTGGTGTAGACAGTGGTCAGAGAGGTGTGGACCGCTGCCCTTCTCATTCCCTTACTCACTGTGGATCTGAATGAAGTGACTTAACTTCTCTGAACCTTAGTTTCCTCATCTGGGCAACAGGGATAATTCGCAGCCCCAGGCTAGAATGGACGTGAAAGATCACACATACCAAGCATTGAACTAACCACTTTCCTTAGGTTTTGTTATCTTTTCGTAAGTAATAACTCTCCACTGTGGAAAATCAGAGAATGCAGATAAGCACAAAGAAGAAAATCAAAATCCTCCATAAATTTCACCACCCAGAGAAAATCGCTGTTGAAATTTTGGCCCCATAGCTCTAGTTTCCGTCCTGCGCAGGTGTTTAGTACCTCTCGCCACAGGCTGCGAGAATTCACTGAGGTAATGTATGTTGAGCACTTGCCCAGCACTGGGGTCTGCTTTAGTACGACATCCATTCCCAGAGTCACTATCACCTCCCCAGGGGTAACTCTCAGATCTCTGCCAGGAGCCCTCACCTCTCTCTGTTCATCTCCAGGCTCTGACTCCGCCCCCCGTGGGCCACTATCCCCTGCATTTCCATCCAGAATTTTATGTGGAGCAAGTCCAAACCCGGAGTCATCACCCACCCAAAGGCATGGCTTGGAGTTCACTGTTCCCGTCTCTCCATCTCTCTTGATTCTATCCTTGCTTCTCTGCACAGTTTGGAGCCCAGTTAGCTGCATCTCTTGGCTCCCACTTGCCCTTCCATTTCTCTCAAGCTCAGAATCTCTCCCCATCTCTGCCAGTCGGCCACATCCTCCGTCATCCAAGGATTCTTTCTAATGCTCTGCTCTACAGGGTTAGGGGTGCCATGAGCTTGGCCTTTGGAGAGGTAGGCAGCCTAGGAAGCCAGAAAGAGCAAATCACAGACCAGGCTTTCAAAAAATCACAGATCAAGTCTCTAGGCAGAGAAGATGGGGAGCTGCTAAGAGATTTTTTAGCAAAGACAACCTGTGTTCTTCTGCCACTGCATTTCCAGAGGGAAATGTGCTCCCCTGTGACAAAGGCGACTGTGGCCAGTTAGAGTCGTGGGTTGTGGTGTCTTCTGTAGACAACTGGGAGCAGAATTTCAAAGGAGTGTCAGGTTGGAGTCAGGGACCATCTACCAAGGGTCCAGAGTGTCATTGTCCCCAAGAGTATCACTTAAAGGACAAGGGTCTGTGCTCCTGACTTGAAAGATGTATGAGGACAAGAGGGACAGTACTCTCAATCCACAGCCCCACTTGGGAATTCCAGATGCCTGAGATGGGGAGTGGTCCAAGAAAAGAGAGAGCAGGCTGGGCGGGGCTGGGGTGGGGCGGAATCGGCGCTTGGTACCTGGATTCAGCCAGGCTCATTACATGGCCTGGAAGTACCAGGGGAAAGTGTGGTTCCTCCCAAGACAGAGGGATCTATTTCAAGGTCCTCTAGCATGTGGACCAGGTGTCCTTTTTACATTATGTGTGGGTGCAAATGTGCTAGTGCAATACAGGGGAGCCTCAGTCTGAACCTTGATGCAAAGTTACCCCAGCTAACATCTTGTCCAAACCAACTCACACATCTAAAAGGAAAGCGCCACTGAGGATGCTGGCGATGAATTTATGCCTTCATTCTTGCCAGTGTTAATTCTCATTCTTCAAATTAAATGTCGCTGCTTGGTGGCATTTCTAACTGGTGTGTGCACTTTTCATAACACCTTCCTCTCTCTTTCTCTTTCCCTGCCCCCAACACCCTGCCACGGCTACTTTCTCTACCCCCGCCTCCCCTCTCTTTTGCTGCTCTGCCCCGCCACCCTGGCTCCCTGCCCACGCCCCAGGTGTCTCTCCTGTTGTACGACTCCACCAGGATGAGGCGGCTGCTGTCCAAGGCCGTGGTGATCGATGACGATGACGAGGACGAGTACCCCTGGAGGCAGAATGCGCACAGATACTACATTCACCTCCTGCTGAGCCTCTTCCTCTTCCTCTGGTTCATCCTGGGAAACTACTGGGTCTTTTCTGTATACCTGCCTGATTTCCTTCCCCCTTTCCAGCAGCCGCAGGACTACTGTGACAAAACCCTGTACGTCTTTGCAGTCGGGGTCCTGGCGCTCAGTCACACGGTGCTGGTCTTGCTCGTGCTGTGCAGCGGCTGTGTCTACCTGTGCTCCAGGTGGAGACCTGCTGCTGATGAAGACTGACAGCATACCACGTGTGCACATGTGCATGCACACACACACAGAGGTTCAGGAGAAGGGCGTAAAGATAATAAAATCTTTCCTGCAGGCATTTAAAAAGCCACCCAAATACACTGAGTAATGAGAGCAGACTAAAGAAACCATTGCCTGCCTGGACATGAGGAAGGCACTTTTGCCCTTTTCAGAGTGGGAATTTTGTTCTCACAAGAGTTTTCAAAGGGATAATTGTCTTTGAGGAAATGAAGTGTGGGAGCCAAGGAATGGGAGACCTTTTCAAATCGTAGTGCAGTTTCAATGACTGGTACAAGAGCAATGTTGGTTGTTGCTACTGCTGCTGTCATTCAGTCATGGTCACCTTGACTTTCAAACAAGATAGATCTTAACTTGACTCACTATGATGGCTTTTGTTATTAAAAGGAGAAAGATATTCTTTTAGTGACTCTAGCTGCCTTTTCAGAAAGTGAAGGAGCAGTCTCTTCCAGCCCCATATCAGATGGTTTTGATGTGATGGGTGGAACATTCCAAGGTCAGCTAAAAAAAATCTGCCAAGGTCAAGGCAGTAGCTTCCACCTAGGGGACGGGGCTGGCCTGTGAGTCTGGCATTGCAGAGTCCAGCGCAGTGCACTGAGTGCCGCTGCTGCAGATTCTTTGCTTGGCCTTGAGTCTGTCTCTGCCCCTGGCTAACCGTGTACCTCTCTGTGATCTGCAGCCGCCTGGGTGGCGTAAACCAGTGTTGAATGTTTCCGGCCAGGTTGCATGAGTTGGGGTGCCATCAGTGTAGCTGCTTTTGATTTCTGAGCTTAAATATCAAATAATGGCTCCACAACCTAATGACCCATTAGGCTTTGGAAGCCTTTTATAAATCGAGATGTCTGGAAGTCTGGGATGACACCGAACAGTGACCACTAACCTTCCCGCCGGCTGCCGCTGTTGAGAAGTCCCAGGTCCATCGTCAGTGCTTGCTGGGGAGCCTCTTTATGATTGAAGTCCGCATGCTTTAGAATTGCGTATGAAGATGCTGTCATGACTGTTTCTAGGGCAGTGCCCAGGCACATGTGGCACCTGCTTAACTGTGCTTCTCTCAACCACATTCATAGCCTTTCTGTATATTTACACAATGCTGAGCTGTGTTTATTTTGAAATTTTTTAATTTTGTTGGTGCTTTATCATCAAACCAATCCCTGAGTGGGCATGAATGGAGGCATCTCCCTTCATCAGAAGTGTCAGCTCACACTGAGAGGCTCATTCTTCTCCATAGCTTTAAGGGAAAGGCCCTGTGAGTTTAGAAGTGCTCCCCAGCATCTGTCACCTGCAGTCACCCTTGATGCCCCTTTCCTCCCAGGTGAGAAGGAAGTGCTTCGTGTGCCATCTGCTGGACAAAGGAGGAACAGTCCTTTTTTTGCTCCAGTCCCTCTGGGCAGTTTCTGTTTTCATTTTCACTTGAGCCATGGCAGAAGACCAGCCGGTGGGCAGCTTGCAGATCCTACCTCACCTATGACGCCCAGCCCCATCCTCACTGTGTCCTGCGTTGCCTTCTCCGTGTCGGAGACCGGGGAGGGTCTGTGGGATATGGTGCTGGGGTGGACAGGGGTTCTGTGGGCTCCCCTCCCACTCTCCTTTCCCCAGTCCATGAGTCATCAGCCACTCCTAGTCACTTAGACAATGCTTGGACGTCTGTGAGCAGCAAAGACCTGGGCCCAGGGACCCCTGCATGACTCCCGCATGAGAGCCTCTGAGGCTTCTGTTGCAAGGGCCATGGGAAAGGCGGAAGGAGCTATGAACAACTGTGGGCATGAAGAGTGCTTTGGGTGTGTCAGTAGCTTGGTCTCAAACCTTGGAATTTCCAGTTTCTGTAGGCATGAGTATCCCCAGAGTGTTGCAGAAATCTTTCCCAGAGGGAGTGGTGGACGAAGGGTGCTCATTCTCATACGTACCCCCGCCCCAGCCCACCCCTGGTTGTAATGGAGAATATTGGTCATAGGTCCTAAATAATTGCTAAAATCTGGACTATATTTTTAGCTTTGCATTTCCTTGTCACCAAAGCAGTAAGGAAGAGGTGACGATCTCTTGCTCTAAGTCACATATCTTCCCTGGTTTGAGGTTACAGCGAGCCATGATTGTGCCACTGCACTCTATTCTGGGTGACAAAATGAGAACCTATCTCTAAAAAACAAAATACAGGTTAGATGTGAAAGAAAATGTTCATGTGCATTCATTCATAGAGGGGACACTGAGTGGTTCAGTGGGTGACATCTTCAGCACAGCAGTCTTGGAGTGATGATTAATTAAGGCCTCCCTCAGGGGATGGTGAGATGGTTATGATAAGGCACATTTCAAGGAAAAGGTTCTGGGGCCAAGGCAAATGGTCCATACCTGTGGTTCTTTGAAGTCTGGCTTACTCTAGACTTCAGATGTTGGGATGACATCAGACTGTCTACGAAGGGCTGAGCCATGTGCCCTTTAAGTGATCACCTCTTAGTGTGATTTCACTCAGCTGGAGGTGAGTGTAAGAAGTTCCTGGTTATCGTCCTTGGCATGGCCTGAGGTAGGCATTCCACATTCATGTGAAGTGTGCTGTGTACACCTGCAGAATGAAAATGCCCAAGACTGGCCCAAGAGATGGGCAGCCTTCCTCAACAGAAACTTGGCAAGGCAATGAGAAGTGGACACGGGAGCACTAAACTTTCTGGATGCTGTGAAACCTCAAGGGAAAAAATTAAGTGGCGGAGAGGGATAATCAGTTCTTCCTGTGTGAGAAAAGACTGCAGCAAAAATAAACTGTATGTTGAGGTCATTTTATTTGCTACATTGGGCATCATTCTAAAAACCATTCTTTGCCTGAATGTATATAAATGACAGTTGACAGCGGTAAAAGTAGGGCCATTTCACTGGAGTCAGCCACACCAGTGGCTCTCAAACCTCGGCAAACCCTCAGAACTCCCCAAGGACGTGTTTCCAACGCAGTGTCACAGCCCCCAGAGACTCTGACCCGAGGGGCCCGGCTGGTTCTGATTCAGTGGCCAGAGAACCACATGTGCACACTCAGGCCATACATACAGCCTGGGCTGGCTTGTCAGGCCCATCTTGGTCATCACCGTGAGGGTAAGATAATGTCTATTCCAGTACTTTGTGTTATTTCCTTCTCTTTTAGTATGAGAAGCGGCCAAGTGGTCAATAGCTTTCATTTTTGTGTGACCAAATTTTGTGCTTCATTTCCTTCTGGGCATTTTTCATTGTTGATGAAATAAACTTTGTTCAATTTGTTCCCCAGTATCTTCCTTGAATGTCCTGGGGGAAGAGAATCCTCCAGTCCTTGGGATGCTTCATTTGTTCTTTCTTCCAATGGGATTCCCAAAGATACAGACTGTGTCCACAGAGGCTGACAACCTGTTCTAGGCAAATTTTGCTCCATAAAACTCATAATCCTCAGGTGAGTAGATGAGTCTATAGTGGAGATTTTAGAAAAATGATCTAACAGAAAATTCTGCTTAGTGATCCTAGTGATAATTTATCTTTTATAAGTATAGAACTAATAAGACAACTAATCTGTCTTTTCTAGAGACAGAATTTCAGTCGTTCACTTTTCAGTTTAGCCTAGCATCACAGCACCTACGTTATCTTGGATATCCCAGGAGGCAGCATTTCACCATGGCAAGCAGAAGTGAAATAAGAGGAGTGGGTGTTTTTTGTTGTTGTTTTTTTCTTTTTGTTTTTGAGATGGGGCCTTGCTCTGTCCCTCAGGCTGGAGTACAGTGGCACAATCAAAGCTCATTGCAGCCTTGACCTTCTGGACTGGGGCGATTTTCCTACCTCAGCTTCTTGAGTAGCTGGGACTATAGGAACGCCACCAGCCCCGCCAGGTTTCTTTGTTCTTTTCTTATTTTTTTAGATATGGGGTCTCGCTATGTTGCCCAGGCTGGTCTCAAACTCCTAGCCCTCCCACCTCAGCCCCCCAAAATGCTGAGATTACAGGCATTAGCCACCTCACCCAGCCCTGTTGTTTTCTCTGAGACACGTCCTTCCTTTGTTACAGCAGTCAGCTTTTAAAACTTACTGCATTGTTCAGAGAAGTAAGCTCTGCTTCATAGGCAAAGGAAAAGCAACTGGGGCTTGCTGCTGGTAGTAAGAGTTTGTACATACAGCATACTCCCAAAAGCCTGGTGACTCAAAATGTCGCTCTGTTCTGATGACTTCCTACTTACCCTATTGGTGAGGGTGGGGTTCCTGTTCTAAATAGTGGGAGAAGCCCAAATGCACCCCTTCCCCCACTGGACAGATGAGATGGATAGCAGCTTCTTAGTCACCAGACTCACTGCTCGGGGGAGGAAGACACAGGGTGCCATGCAGGGCCTCATGGGCTTGCGCTGGGGAACAGAGTGGACCGGCAGGGGCCATGGGGGTCATGCCTTGTAGTAACAAGAGGACCAGGTAACCCCATGTTCCCATGGGAGGATGTTCCTGTCTTGCTTAATTTCACAGACCGGCAGTGTAAGGCCGGTTGCCTCGCCGGGCTCTCAGCGCTTGAAAACTACCTCATCATGCTGAGCACATTACTCAGCATCTGGTCTCTCCATGCGGACTCCCCACACCCCTTTCATGCAGGCTCCCCATACCCATTTCTGCATTCCAATCTCAGTCCTGCACTCACCGGCAAACTGTGCACTCGGCCCCGCCCAGTTGGAAAGCCCGCCAAAGTTTAAAAAAAGCCACACCAAAACCTGCCCTATGGCAGCTTGCCCCTTACGTCGTCAACCAGCCCACTCGCCCATGGCCCAGCCGGGCTGCCAATGGCGGCTCACCTCACCTGTGACCAGTCCCTTCATAACCAATGACTACCTCCGCTTTGTTTCCCCTGCAGCCGACCAACTACCTCTACTCCCTATCAAACCCCATGCCCTAAGAAGAAAGGCGCGACTTCTCTGGCCCCTTTCCTGGACCATAGAACCTCGCCCGGGAGCTGAATAAATTGGCTTTTACCTTTCTTCCTCCTCATTTAACTCGGCAATAAACCTTACAGGCAGTGAAGTGAAACCCATTAGGCTGGTACCTGGTGAGTAACTGATAGGGGACTGGTCAGGTGGGAGACCTTGCCTGCTGGGTCAGGGGCATGCCTTGTGAGGGCAGGGGAACTCACAGTTCTGTGAGGCTCAAAGATGTCAAGGCAGCCCACAAAATTGTAGGCTTTACAATCCAGCCTCCTAGAGCCACCCCCACCTTTCTTTGGCCTTGTTTCCTGGGTTATTTAGTCCTGGGTTCAAATCTGTCTTTGAACATTTTCTCAAATTCTCAATGCAGGAAGGGCAATGTAATCAGTAGTGAGATATACATTGTCCATGAAGTTAAAAAAAAATTAAAAAGTCTTCTCGACCGCCATCAGTAGCCAGAACACTCGCCGCCTGCTTCCTGAGAGCAGGCTGGGACATCCTCCTCTTCAGCTTCAGTGATTTTCCCACCATTGCAGAGCTCTTGCCGTCTGAGCGGACTCTTCCAGACCAATGTGTTTACTCTTTATATCTTCATTTGAGTATTTCAGCTGCTATTTAATACAATGTCCTGTAGACTGTACTTTTCCAGGGCCATCAAAAAGAAAACAGAAAAGAAAAACATTTCCTACATCAGTTTACAGTTTATACATTTGTTTATAAGGAAGCATTTGGGTTCGATTCCCAAGTCACTGTGGAAAGGGGTTGAAGCCCAGGTTCCCTTGGGATCCCGTCTGTCAGCCCAGTGTCCCCTCCGGGCCCCTGCAGCAGGTGAGGGCGCTAATGGTGCACACCTGCACCCTTTCCTGGGGCCACCTTGGTTGACTGGAGCCAGCTGCTGAGAGGAGCCTAGAGTTCCACCCCCTCCCAGTTCACCCCACTGACACCCAAAGCTAAGGACTGAGTCAGGGAAGAGGGAGGAAAAGCCCAACTCCCTTGTTTCAGGGCAGGTCAAACTTGTGTCATTTATGCTCCAGAGCTGTTTGCGTGGTCAGGTGAAAGCGGGGCTTTGTGGGAAGCCACATCCTCTCCCAGTGCTTCCCTTTTCCCCGTGCTTCTTCCCTCACCCTAGTTCGTTTCTCCCAAGACCACGCCCTCACCGCATCCCTTATCCCAGAGCTTCATCTCAGACTCTGCTTCCAGGAAAGCTGGCCTAAGCCAGGGTTATTTCTCCACAGCTGGAGGCCTGACATCAATTACCAGCATATCCCCTTTTACAGCCCTTTTTATTTTCCTAAAATGATGATTTTAAAGCTTTATTTTTATTATACAAGTGATACATGCTATGGCTAGAGATTTAAGTCTTGTCAAAGAGTATGAGGTAAAAAAAAGATTTGAAGCCCCACCCCAACTCCCAGTCCCCAAAAAGGTACCCAGTGTTAATTCTGTAGTATCCTTTTGAAATATGTCTATGTATTGCTAAGCATAAATATATGTACTTTTTACATAGATTGTATCAGACTATTCATGTTCGGCAAGCTGCTTTTTTTCTGCTTCCTGGATCATGGATTTCTTTCCATTATCAATGCAGAGCTCTGCCTCAAACATGACTAATACGTACTCATAGGGCTCATTTAAAGAGGCACAGCCTCTGTTAACTGGCCTGGTCTGTCATTTCTGTGAATCAAAATGGGAAGAGCAGTAATGTGAAACTGTTATTTTGACAAATGAACAACTGAGAGGTCAGTTTGAGGAAATGTTTGCCATTCCTCCTGTCATACCTAAGTGGGCCCCTGGCTGAACAGGGCTTGTGGGGAAGTTCATTGCAGGCCTTTGAATCAGGCGCGTGAGGCATCTGAGGGAGACTCACCTGGACGAGACAACACATCGAGCTCCTGAGAGGGGAGAGGTTGATTAGGGTGGATGCCATCCTCTGTGTTCCCCAGGAGTGTGAGAGTCAACAAAACCCCGTCATCATCAATGAAACCATTAAAAAAAAATCAACAAAGCCACATACTTAAGGACCAAACTATCCTTCCGATGGTACGTGGTTGTGTGAATACCTACAACTGAGATATATTTGGCAACAGATACAAGACGGAGGCAACACCTGAGTATTGCAGAAATTATAAAATGTATTTTAAGATACACAAGAAAAATTAATAATGTATCACAATGAGGTACCTACCATCTCACACCCCTCAGGATGGATGCTATTAAATAAAAAAAGGAACGAACTCCAAAGACAAGAAGTTGGTGAGAGTGAGGCGAGTTGAAGCCCTTGGCAATGCTGGTGGGAACAGAACGGGGCACAGCAGCTATGGGAAAGAGTATGGCAGGCCCCCAAAAAATTAAAAAGAGAATTGCCATATAACCCAGCAATTCCACTTCTGGGTATACACACAAAAGAACTAACATCACAGTCTTAAAGAGGTATTTGCACACTGATGTTCATAGTAATATTATTCACAATAGCCAAGAAATTGAAGCAATCCAAGCATCCATCCATGGATGAATAGATAAACAAAATGTGGTATATACACACAATGGAACACTATTCAGCCCTGAAAAGGAAGGACATTCTGACACTTGCTACAATATGGGTGAACCTGGAGGACATGATGCTAACTGAAATAAGCCAGTCACAAAAAGGCAAAGTGTGTTTCTACATAGATGAGTTCCTAGAGTAGTCACATTTATAGGGACAGAAAGCAGAATGGTGGTTACCAGGGGCTGGGGAAGGGGGGAATGAGGAGTTCTTTTTTAGTGGGTTCCGAGTTTCAGCTTGGTATGATGGAAAAGTTCTGAAGATGGATCGTTGCGTGGCAGTGCAAATGTAGTTAATATTGAACTGTACACTTAAAAATGGTTAAAATGGTAAATTTTATGTTGCGTGTATTTTCCCATAGTCAAAAATAAAAATAAGTAATGTATTCCTCAGTCCTCCCAAGCCTCCACAGAATGATGGAGTGGCTCAGTATTAAATAGCTGGCCAGCGGGGTCCTTTGGTCATTCCATGCATACACAGGGCCAGGCTACAAACCAAACCTCACTTTTAGTGACCGCAGTGCTCAGCACCCAGCTTCAGTCTCAGTGCCCCTGGCTTGGGGGTTTGGGATTGGGAGGAATCCTGGTAGAAAAAACTGTGGGAATTATAAGCTACCCCATCACACACAAAAACAAATCAACTATCCAAAAAAGAAGAGGGGATAGTAGTGGAAGTTTCCAGTCCCACAGAAGTTACTAAAAGAAGAAACCAGGAGACGCCACCATGGGACACATCTCTCATCCTTATGGAGAAGGGGTTAATGCATGTGGCATCTGGACCCAGACTATCAGGCTGGGATCCTGGCCTTGCCCCTTTCCAGATGCACGTGATCTTGGATGTGCCACTGAAACTCTTGGTGCCTTGCTTTTATTTGTAAGGAGATTAAAACGGTGCATGGCACATAGTAGGTGGAGCATAAGTATTTGTTAAATAAGAGAAAATTTTCTTTATTTCGCCCTCATTACAATGCTGTGAGGACTGTACAGTTACGCTCCTCTGTAGAGGGAAACTGAGGCTCGCAGAGGTAAAGTGTCTTTTCTGAAGATGCGTCAGAGCTGAACATGGGCCCTTTGACTCTCTATCCCAGTTCTGCATCCATCTCCTGCCTGTGTGGGTGGCCCTTCTCCCGAGGCTGGCAGTGGATATGAGGTGGTCCAGGGAGCGTGGGTAGCATGAACTATAACCACCTCACCAAGCAGCCTGCATGCTCTCACGCTTCTGCCCCAGGCACCACTAGAGAAAGCCCATGGCTTTTGCAGTCAGAACAGAATCTGCTTGCGGTAAAACCGAAGCCCTGGAAGCAGGCTGCACGAGTTTTTAAAACAAACACGAGTCCCGTTGGTGGAAAATCACTTTCTCCATCAACTCAGCTATATGGAGGCTGACCTCCCTGGCTTCACTAGTGCCCCACTTTGGGCCCATGTCACTGCCAATGTCTGCAGTCCTTGGAGGGTGCACAGGGCTGGGGAAAGAAGGGGGATTTCTGTGTGTTTTAAATCTAAGCAAGTGATTCATGCATATGGTACAAAATTCAATGGCACAGAAGGTATTCAATGAAAACTGAGTCTGTCTCCCGCCTCAGCTCCCCACTGCCAAAGTTCTGGCCAGAGGCCCCCACTGCGATTAGCTTCTTGTGAAAGGAAGGAAACCCCTAAATCAAATTGACTTGTTCAGTAGGAAGTTGGTTCAGATGGGCAACAGACAGCCCTGGGGCAAGCCCGACTGTAAAGGATGATGGGCACCGAGGGACACGGGGAGGCAGCCGGAAAGGCCTTTCCGCATGGTGACTGTCAGCTGCGGAGTTAGGGGGAGGGCGGGTTGGTGTCTACCACCGTACCTCTTCCCTGGGCTGCTGCTCTCCTCTGCTAGTGTGAATGCCAGAAAGCAGTCGCCTTTGGGCTTCTGGTAAGCCTTTTGTGATTGAGGCTAGGAGCCCTAGACCCACCCCACAACTGCTTGTCATCAGGAAGAGCCCAGTTCCTTAATCCATGCACGGCTGGGTCAGCACCTGTGCATGGTCCACACTGAAAAATAAGGATCAGCATCAGAGACCTTCTTCCCTGCTCTCTGCTTCATCCTCTCTTTTTTCTTGTTCCTTTCCCTTCGCTGGCATGTCCATTCCCCACCCCCAATTCCCCACTAAACATGCACATGAATGGTGTCTGACTTCCTATGAGTTTATGATTTATGGTTATTCATCTTATTAACTAAGTAGCTTTGCCAGGTAAAATATTAAGGCACCATTGCCATTATGACCTTGTCTTCCATGATCTCATTGGCAGCTGGTGTTGCCATGACAACTTGGCTAGAGGAACTGGTATGAGCTTCAGTGGAAGGCAATATGAACACGTGTGTGTGTGTGTGTGTGTGTGTGTGTGTGTGTGTATACAGACTTCTCATCATGTGTATCTGTTGCTCAGGAAGCCATGGATTTCCACACCTCCTGCTTCTCCTTCCAATTTGGTCAAAATTAGCCTCAGGGATCTAAATCAATTGGAAGGGAACTCTGGAGGATGATTTCTTTGTTTGGCTTTTTGAGTGGCAAATTGGAACCAGGAACACAGGAGAAATATTTTAGTGGCTTTCCACCCATGGGAAATGAAGCGACCCTACCCACTTTGACATTGCTCTTAAAAGCACCCTGGGCTTAATTTATTTAACATCCATATGTAATTTTCTAATTAGATGTACAGAAAGTTGGAGCTGAAAGGGGTCCCGGGTGTCAGTCTGGCCCCCTTTTTGTTCAGATGAGACAAACTGAGGCCCAGAGCCTGTGACCTGCCCCCATTCCGTATGATGCACTGGGGAAGGTATGGACTCTGGAATCATACTACCTGGCCTCAAAGCCTGGCCCCACCATGTATTTACTGTGACCTCAGTCAAGCTATGTAACCTCTCTGTTTGCTCATCTGTAAGATGGGGATAATAGCAAGAGTAACCATATGGGTCAGTGTGAGAATTTAGTGCTATAATCCACAATGCTTGGAACAGTTTAAGCCTTCTATATATTTTATCACACAGGTCACACAGAAAATAACTGGCAGAAATTGGACTAGAATGCAGCTCAGCTGACTCCAGTTAAACGGGAACATTCCCCTATGAACTCCATACTGCCCTTTGTTTCTTCGTGTGTGTGTGTTACTTGGCATCCAAGTGAGAGCGGAAGCTGATTTTGAGACAGGGGTTGGCTTTTCCTAAGACCTCCTCTGGAAGTGTATATAATGTATACACTACCTCGTGGACACTTGATGTGAGTCTAACACTGGACGCTGCATGCCCTCATGGAACACTTCTTGAATGTACACTGCGTGGCTGGTGTAGCGGAGAAAGGACTGAGAAGAAAACTTGAAGGAAATGAACGCTTCTGATCACTTCATATGAAACTAAGCTCTTTATAATGAATGCTTTCCTCATCACAACCACCCCATGAGGTGAGCATCATTCCCATTTTACACATTGAAAACGAAGACTGAGGGTGTGTGCAGTATGCTCAGGTTCACCTGGCTAACGCGGAGAGCTGGGTTTCCAGCCAGACTTTTATTTCAAGGGGCCGCTGACACCCTCTAGAGACTTTGTAGTTCAAAACCATTTCTCACCCCCTCTCTGTGAGCCAAAAGTGTTATTTCCTGAGGTGGTCAGAGGGATTCAGAGCAGACTGACCCCTTCTCCATCACTGACACAAAGCGGAGTGTATAAATCAAAGTGTGTAGCCCTGGGGATCTAAAATATTTTCCCAGCCAAGTCGGACAGGCATTGACAGTCACACCAGGCTGGGTGGTTTTACAAAACGCCACTTGTTTAAATTTCCTTTCATCACTCTGTCAGGAATAACACTAACGTAGTGGAACCTCAGAGTCCTGTTTAGAGGGGCGAGCTGTTCTGGGGATATTTATTTCAAAAGTTATTCTGAAGTAAAAACTTGCCTACTGCGGGGTGAGGGTGGACAATGATCCTGTATCCTAGGTAATGAGGCTATTAAAGCAGCCGGTGTCCGCTCAGCTTATGTAAGAGGGGCTCAGTCTCTGGGCGACTGGAGTAAACCAGCATAGAACTTAACAGGGTGACTAGGAGTGAGAGCAGCAGTAGGTCTCCATTTCTAATGTGGCGTTGGGGCTGGAGGTTAGATGTGGACAGGGGTGTCTGGGTTCTACATAACGGGGCTGGAATCGGGGGGATGACTAGTCTGAGATCTGGGTTCACGCAGCAACCACACGTTTTTACCCACACCAGTTATTTGGGGTTGGGCGGAAGGCTGATGAGGATTTGGGAAAGATCAAGCGGCTTTCCCTGGCAGTGCAGGAAGTTGCAGAACCAGTGGCAGAAGTCTGGGCCATGGAGACAATTCCTTCTCGGGTGGGAGCCCCAGCGCGGCCTCTTGCCTGCGTGTGGCCAATCTGACCGTGCTTGCTGGAGAGAGGAGATGTATGTGCTAGGGCACCGCACCCCCCGCCCCGATACATGTAGGAACTTAGAGAACGTCAGTTATTGCAATAACCCTTATGATAACACCAAATCTACGCAGAAATCTTTTAAATATCACAAGCCTCGTAGTTTTATTCTACATGGTTTTCTAGGTAACCGAATTCCAGGAGGTGCGTGGCAGTGCCACCCACGCCTCCTGGCCATGCCCAGCGGGAAGGTGTTCTCTCAACGTTGCTGACGCCCGATTTCAACCACGAGGAGACTGTGGACCTCGACGGCGGCCCGCAGCAGGGCCCGTCCGCCTCACTCCACCCTCTGAGGCTGGGGCGGAGTCGAGCGGCCGGCTCTGAGACCCTTCGCCTTCCCCGCGGAGCAAGGCCCCGGAAGCCGCGGGGCTTACATAACCCGGATGATGTTAGGGCGGGCGACTCTCGGGAGGGCGGGACCAGGGCGGAGGCGCCGGGGGCGCGGCGGGGCTCGGCGTGCGGCGCGCCCGGCATGTCCCTGTACCGCAGCGCCGTGTGGTTCGTCAAGGGGCTGCGCGAGTACACCAAGTAAGGCGGCGCGGCGGGGGCGGCGGGGGGCGGGGGGGGCAGTTGTCCCGGGCTGTCACGTGGCCCGCCTCGGCGGGGGCGAGCGGGGTTGGCGGCAACGCGCCAGCGGCCCCTTAGCCCTCTCGCTTGACGGACTAAGCGAGCCCCGAACTACTGGGGCGCCCGCCATCTAGCGGCCCGCGGCTGGGCGTGGGGCGGTCGCCAGCGTGCAGCTCCTCCGCGCTCGCGACCCAGACTGGCGCCCGAGGGGCGGGACTGTGGCGCGCCCAGGCCCGTCCCACTGACGTCAGGCGGCCCTGGCGCCTCCGAGGCTCCTGGGCGTCACCTCGGCGCCCCGCGGGGTGAGCTTCGGCAAGTGCCTTCGCGCTGCTGCTGGCGGCGTCAGAAAGGGCTGGATCTAAATTCCTAGCCAAGGCTCTGTCGTAGCAGCTTCTTCCTCTAAGAAGATGCGGCACCTGGACTGCGTCCTCTGGCTCCAGCTGGCACTTTCCAGCCTGGGTCCCCAGCCAGGGTGACTGTGCACCCAGTGTGTGCTCCTGGGTAACGGTGCATGGTGGCTTCGCCGCCCCGTGACCACGCTCAGTGTGCCCTAGTTGGCTCTCCACCTCATTGTGGTTTTTAGAGGTAACAGGTTCCTGTGACAGAGGAGAGATGGAGGTTTTATCTTAGAATTGATTAGGCTAACCAGTGGTTCTCAACCCTGTCTGCTCATCAGAATCACGGGAGGATTAAACGTACCAGTTTTCTGAGCTAGAGAGATTCTGAGATTCCTAGAGATTCTGATTCAGTGGGTCTGCACAGGGGCCGGGATTGGCATTTCCTCCAAATCCCCCAGGTGATTCTCATCTCAGAGGCTTCTCCCTGCACTGGGGCTTTTTCGGTTCCCACGGCAACCTGGCCAGCACTCCTAGAGGAGGTAGGAGTTGCAACTCACTTCTCTTCACCCCACATCATTTTGGGAAAAGTTCAGCTCTGCCCCTGGAGCCCCTGCTGCGGAGAATGCTTGGAAAGTGTAGCCGTGTGCCCTGTCCCACTGCTTTTAGGAGAATACAGTGTCCGCCTCTTTCTTTCACAGAGGTGTCTTCTGGCAATGACCATTCATTGCTGGATCTTTCCACATGACACAGCATGAAAGCTTGAGTCAGTTTCCAACCCGGGGTGGGCCCCAGGGAAGGCAGGCTGTAAAAATCTCTCCCAGGACTCTTTCGCTCTGATTTCCCCACCTTGAGGGAGGGAAGGTAGAAGTGAGGCCAAGGGGCCCAATCCAACACAAATTGTGGGGGAGGGGAGGGGAAGGCGGTTGGCAGACTTAGGTGGGTTTTCCCGCTGTTGTGAATTTAGTGACTGGGAGAGAAAAACAACATTATTTTGACTTCAGTGTGAGAGTGAGGAGTTAGGGTTTGCAGCGTTTCTCTTGGCACAAGGATTTTTATAAAGCCTCCCTATTTTGGGCTCCTAGGCAGCAGGATCTAATCATTGTTTCCTAAACTTTGCTGAACCTAATAATTCCCTGGGCAGTTGTAAACAGACTCCTAAACCCTGGGCAAGTATAGATGGATCCTAAGCAAATTCCATATTTGGGTAAATTGAGGGGACAGGAGACACGGATACCTGTGACCTTTCCCCTCCCCATCCCTGTCCCCTCAGGTTCAGGAAACTGTAAGTATGGACGGACGTCCTCTCAGCTTGAATCAAAATCCCCTGCAAGGCACATGAAACCACAGGCTGCCGAGCCAGCCCTGCTGAGTCTGCCGGCAGGGCATCTCCAACAGGTTTCCAGGTGCTGCTGATGCAGCTTGTCTGGGCGCTGCCCTTTGGCCCCTAGGCTGGGTGTTGAAGAATGGAACACCCAGCCTTTGGTCTCATCTCCTACCTTCTGGTGACCTAGGGAAAATCATATCTGTCTGAGTTTGAAGAATAGAGACTGATATCTAGAGTTTGTGAAAATAAAATGTTTCCCCAATAAGGGGCAGAGTACATAAAAGACAAGTCTTACCACTAACAACAGATTGGACCAGGACGAATTCTTGTATGGAAGGCAAGATACCTGGCAGAGGACAGAGGGCAGGGGCATGTCCTGCAGGCCAGGCCGGCGCTGCCCGCTTGGCGGCAGTCCCAGCATGCAGTTTGAGGAAGAGGTTTAACCCAGAGGAGCCACCCTCAGCAAACATTCGTCTCTAATATAGATCAGTGTGGAGCCCAGAGGCTAATGTCCCCTCTGGCTGGGTGTAACGGAGAAAAGCCTGTCAGCTTCCTGCCCCTGGAGAAGGGCTCTGAAAGCCTGTTCCCTGTGGACTGCTTTTTCTCTGGCTCTATTGTATTTGGGAAGTTCTCACTCATTCCCCACAATGCCTCCTCCTAGCTAAGCCCCTACCGGAAAAGACTTTCACAGAGATTCCAGGGCTCACGTGTGTAAAGGGGGAAAAACTTCCAGTTTCCTCTTTGTTTGTAGTTTAAAATGCTCAAAGTCCCTATTGATTTGAAGGCTTGGGGACCAAATGAGCACAAATTTGAACATGGAAGGTACTGTCATTATTAATAGTAATAATGTTGGCCAGGGGCAGTGGCTCATGCCTGTAATCTCAACACTTTGGGAGGCCGAGGCAGGCAGATCGCCTGAGGCCAGGTGTTCAAGACCAGCCTGGCCAACGTGGTGAAACCCTGTCTCTATTAAAAATACAAAAATTAGCAGAGTGTGGTGGCGGGTGCTTGTAATCCCAGCTACTCAGGAGGCTGAGGCAGGAGAATCACTCGAACCTGGGAGGCAGAAGTTGCAGTGAACTGAGATCGCGCCTCTGCACTCCAGCCTAGGTGACAGAGACTCTGTCTCAATAATAATAATAATAATAATGTCAACTGCTAATTATTGAGCTCCTAATATGTTCCAAGTACTGTCATAAATGCTACCCAAGAGGTATCTCTTATTATTCCCTATCTGCAGATGAGGAGATAAGAGCCCAGAAAGGTTAAACCAACACACAAGATTGCACAGCTAGTAAGAGGCCAAGCTGTGACAAACCCAGGTTGTTCAAGCCCTTGTTATTTTTTAGTTTCAAGTCAACCTTTCAGGAAGGCTTTGGAATAAGAAATCTTGCTTGCCACCCACAGCAGAAGCAATGGGTAGGGTGTTCTCGATCTCTTGACCTCATGATCCACCTGCCTTGACCTCCCAAAGTGCTGGGATTACAGACTTGAGCCACCACGCCTGGCCGTGAGTAGGGTGTTCTCTAAGCTGCCTGGCATGTTCCAGTGAGTTACAGATGGTGCAAACAGGAACATTTTTCTTGTTCTCTTAAGAACATCTGAGTTTACTGAAACAAGTGGCAATGCCTGCCCTGTGGCAATGACTTTCAAACTAAAACCCAAGCTCATAAACATCTTTTGGCCTCTTCCCCAAGTGTCCAGGGCATGTAACTGGCAGTTGTGCTGTACCAGGGCATGGAGCAGGAGGCCAGCTGTTGGCTACCCATTTGTCAATAGGTCCTGTGGGAGGGCTCTCGGCCTCTATGGAGCCTTGAGATTACAGTCCCATTCTGCACTGCTGGGGAAAAATCTCTTGGCTCTGGGGGAGAGATGCAAGCTGTGAGACCCCAGCCTGCCTGTGTGTGGGCAGAGTCTACCCTCTGGGCCTCCTGCTGCCAACCCCACCCTTCTGCTGCCACTGCCCTTAGCCAATTCATAGCCAGGAAATACTAGGAGAGTAAAGGTAGAGCAGTATCTCCGAAGGAATGAGAGAGAGAAACAGTTAAGGAACTCATGGTTGCTTCAATCCAATATGATGCCTTTGTGCAAATCAGAAAATGTACCTCATCTGCAATATGCTTTTCTGTCACCTGCCAGAACGTTATCATAATGCAGTTACAAATCTCCCATCATTATCCAGATGGCACTCCCTAGTGCTATGCAGTGCCCACCCTGTGTCCCTGAAGGAGCCTTGGCTTCCTCTGATGGGTGCAGAGCTTAAATGACTCCACCTTCCTCCTTCATCGGCTACTTGCAAATCTCTCCATTTCTCCAAGTAGGCAAGGAAGGATATCTGTCCTGCAGTGCAATAAGCACAATGCAAATGGTCTCCTAAGCTTCCCAAAACCTGCCCCTCACAAAAGGGAGAAGAGCAATTCATCTGTCAAAGGATTTTTTTCTTTTTGCCACTCCCCAGTATCGGGGCAGTCAGAGGAAGACAGTTTGGATGCCAAAGTGTTGGAATCTCCAATATTTTCAAAAGTTTGGGAAGATAATGGCCCAGGAAATGCAGGCCCTGAGATAGTGGCATTCGTGAGACCAGGGAGGGTGAATGAGAAAGGAGTTTCATGATGTTCTGGGAGAGGCAGAGACAGCAATCATGCGCATCCTAGAATTCAGCTTTCTTCTGCAGGGGTTTGTGTTCCTCACTCCTTACAGCTGGTCTTCTCACCGGTCTGCTGTTTCTAGGAGTGGCTATGAATCTGCATCTAAGGACTTTGTCCCTAATGACTTGGAGGTCCAGGTTCCTGGAAGAGTCTTTTTGGTTACTGGAGGAAACAGCGGCATTGGCAAAGCAACTGCCCTTGAAATAGCCAAGCGAGGTGAGCGGCTGCTAACACGTGTCCTCTGAGCCCCATGGCCAGACTGTGGCCGGTCCACTACTGAGGAGGGCACCCTGTGTCACAGGCAGGTCAGGAAGTCCTGGATGGTGAGCCCATGGTTCTGGGCACAGGTGTCAGCTTTCTGAGCCTCGAGCTAGAGGTGGCTAGAGCAACAGGAGCCCTTTCCTCAACACTTAATTAATTCACGGGAGAGCGCGGGTTCTGCGCACGTGTACAAGTGTTTTCTGATTAAGAGCAGTGAGGGGCTCAAGCAAACCCTGAACATCAGAATCCCCAGTGGAATTTAATTAAAAAAAAAAAAACACGTGAACACCTGGTCTCTAACTCATGCCTTCCCAATGAGACTCCCTGGGGGTGGGGACAGGGGAGAGGGAGCCTGAGAGTCCACCACAATTTGGATGTGGATGGTAGTTATGAACCAGCGTCCCCAAAATACCTGGAGAGAGGAGTATGTTGAGCTAACTTCCTCCTTGCTGGTGTCCAGCCTCCAGGGCTGGAGCAGCCTCCTGCTTCCCTCCCCTAACCTTGATGATAAAGAGGCACCCGCAGGTGCCTGTAAAGTCTTCAGTCAGCAGAAGTCTTCCTCATGGGTGAATGCCAGAATTTCCTGCACGAGCTCAACTATCCTGGGTCACCAGTTGGCTCTGCAGTGGCTAGAAAATTTTCCTGCATCTCTCCAGAGGCTCTTCTGGAAAAATGGATGTTCCAGCAGAAGGTGGGGAACTAGGTTGTGAATTTATCACTTTTTAAGACGCTGAAGATGTTTTCTTTTTTTCCTCTCTCTAAATCCAAGTTAGGCATTTTTCAGGGGACTATTATATCATTTGAAGCTTTATTTAATTATCTGCCAAGTCAGGGAGAGGATTAAGTGCGTCTTAGCAGCTGGGAACGACTCTGAAGTGTGGAGAGGAGGGGAGAGGACAGGGGCTGGTGGTGTGGTCAGCCTGTAGCTTCTGGTGAAACAGACGCCATTTAATCAAGTGGGTGATTTTTAGTAGAGAAAGCAGACTCCATAATGATTCCTTCTTAGCTGCCACGACGAAGATGTTCTGCTTTAAGTTGACCTTGATTGATGATGTTGTGGCATTTGCTGGGATAATATGAGGGCTGCTGATGGATTAATCATTCAGTCTATACTTGAGTCTCTACTACATGCTAGGCCAGTGGTTCTCTACTTTGCCTGAACGCCATATCACCAGGGAGCCTGTAAAACATACTCAGGCCTGGGCCATCACCTGGATCTTTAAAAGCTCCCTAGGTGAGTCTAAAGTGCAGCCAGGTTTGAGATCTCCGTGCCAGCTACCATGCTGGATGCTAGGGAGACAGATGCGACCCGGATCAATGTTTCTTATCCTTGATGTGTTCAGGCCCTTAAAAAATCGGGATGTTATCCCAGAAGCACTGTCAGCGCAGATAGGCAAGAAGGTTCCAGTACCTCCCTCACGATTGCCTTCGCTGCTCTAACTGTGGGAACCACCCATCTAGGTTTAACGGAAGGGTGTCAGTTGCAGGTATTCTTTTTGTGAGCCCATATGTCTTTATTTTTCATTTGGAAGGACTGGTTTCTGTAGCTCTCGCTGTAACTCACAGATGGTTTCACTGAATTCCACCAGGTGGCACAGTTCACCTGGTTTGTCGAGATCAAGCCCGAGCAGAAGATGCCAGAAGTGAGATCATCCGGGAGAGTGGTAACCAGGTGAGCAGCTCCTCGCCCCTCCTGCCGGGTTTCCTCGCCTCCATGGTCAGCTATGAGGAGGTCGCACTCCTGCCCGAGTTCCCTGGGTTGGCGACGGCCTGTGTTTGTGCTTCTGCTTTCGAAGCAGTCTCAGCCAGCAGAGAGCTGGGCCTTGCTTTTGAATGGCTAGGTTTGACCCAGGGGATAAGTGGGGCACTCAGGCTCAACTGCACGGCTCTGGGCTGCCTGTGAAACCAGCAGAGGCCGGCAGGCAGGGGCCCGTTATGCTAGACAATGATAGTGCCAGGCTTCTCACCCCGGAGGGAGCCCACATCAGCGACAGCAGCAAGGGTCATCTGGGTGCCTCGGAGCCCTGCATTGACCCTGTGCCTTTTAATAAAGAGAAACCGCCGACAGCATTTGGGTCCTGATGAGAGCTACTTTCTGACACAAGCTTTCAGAGCTGCCTCACGTTCTGTGGTCTTTCTCTTCTGAGAGAGCTGGAACCAGGACTGGCTTGTGGGGCACGGTGCAAAATGAAAATGCAAGACCCTTGTGTAAAAGTTATTTAGGAATTTCAACACAACAAAGGCAGAACTTTAAACCAAGCTTGAGGCCTGATTGCAGGACCTGTGCGTCTGTATAGATCGTATTCCTGTGATACACTGTGCAGCCATGAGGCTGGCCTTGGATGGAAAACCCTGACCCCTGCCACCAAGTGGAGAGAAAGGACCCTCAGTCACCACGGTTGCTCGCTCACTGTCACTAAAGAACATCCTCATTCCATTCCCATCTCTTCCCTAGGAGACCCCACAGTTGGAGGGCTTGTGGAAGAGGAGCTGGGGAGGGACAGACAGTACCCCCACTCAGGCATGGACCTTGGCCAAAGAGAAGAATGTCCCCATCTAGGATGGAATATTTTGCATCAACTGTGAAATAACATTTTCACACCAAGTGTCTGTTCCTTTCCCCTACTCGTGGAAATCCCCAGTCTCATGCCATCAGGTGCCTTCCAGAGGCTTCGTGCTGGCGGTGAGCGTGAGGGTCTCTAAATCTCCCTCTAATGTCTGCAAGTGCCGCGGCGATCGGCGGGCTGCAGTTCTCGAGATTGAAAGCTGGCTGGCTGCCTGCTGATAACTTTCAGTGGTGCTGCTGCAGGATGCAACAAGAATACTAATTTCAGGCCGCCGGCAGGAGGAGGTTTGCCTGGATTCCTGCCTGCCGTGGTGTGGGCCACAGGCTTTAAAAAGTGTATTTAAATGGAAAACGATGATAGTATGGATCTGTTTGTAATATCCAGCCAGGCTTATATCCAGTGCCACCATCTTTAGGAGGGGTAGAGCTGAAAAGGGGAGCGAGCATGTTCCTGGACTGGGGAGGAAACAGGCCCTTGCCTACTGTCCCCCTCACCTCCATGCAGATGCGCTCGATGGGATTTGAATGCACATGCAGACAGTCACTGCTCTCTTGGGTTTATAAGTGGTCTCCAGCACTCAGAGGGGGAGCGTGCGGGATAAGGGTCCAAGGCTGCCTATGCCAGTGCCTGTGGCTTCTCTGACTCAGTGTGTCCTCCAAGCTCTGCCAGGGATCAGCTGCCCCTCCCTGCTTATGAAGAGGCCCCACTCCACAGCCACATCTGGTCTACCATTGGTAGGCAGCCCCCGCACAAAATCATGGTATGCAGGAGGAAGTTGGGCTCTGATAGGAGTCTTGGTTTTGCCCTTCCTGGCCTGTGAGCTTGGGCAATGTTCTTAGCTTCCCAGAACCTTCCTTTCCTCATTGAAAATCAGGGGTAACTTGACTTTATTGGTTTTTAATGTGTATTTAAGGGTGAACTGTATGCCAAGCAGCATGCTGGGAGCTGGAGACGCAGGTGATTGGGACAGACACAGCCCCTGACAGTCTTATCCAGGATAAAAGTGATTAACAAGCAGTTTCTTTGAAGTGTGTGTGCCTGCCCTGGGCCTGGCCACTGTGCTGTGTGTCACAGTGCAAGTGGGTTGGGGGACAAATTATATGAACCCCAAGGTATGTGTTTCTTCAACTCCTACAGCCAGACAGCTTTTGGCTGGGTTTGACCAATGGCAGGAATTACAGGAAGATTGGCAGGTGGAAGGAAGGTGGGGAATTGAGATATTGGCTTCCCTGGTGACGGCTGAATCTCCTCTCTGGTTCTTCCCTCTGGGTCCTGGGCTCAGGCCACACTGCATTCCCACTTTGTTCCTTGAGCTGGTGGTAGTTTCCTGCTGTTACTCACTCTGGGTTACTTCACCAATCCTGGTTGAGTTCTCATCTTCCTTAGTCACCTGGGAAATAATCCCTGCATTCAATTCCCTCTGTTGAAAGAGGTGTCTGTTAGACGTTACTGAAATAACAAAGGGCTACAAGATGGGAAGCTCAGGGTGTCCTCAGAATAAACAGCTCTCAATCAATAGAAGCAGCTACTATAATTATTGTTGGTATTATCAGTATTGTGTATACTAATATTATTACCACTCCCAACCTTTCATTTCTTGCTTCAAGTTTGTTCTGTTGAATCAGTGCTTGGGCCTTGCTCAGTGGGAGGTGGAAGCCTTCAGGCCCCCAGAAGCAGAAGAGATATGTGTTAGAGCAGTGAGGGCCCTGGAGCAGCGGGTCCTGCCTGCATGGTTGGGTGAACATCAAAGAAAGAGGATCCCTCAGGCAGGAGGGTCTGGGTGAGTTGTGCAGCAGACCAGCTGAGCCAGGGAGCGCAGGCACCGGGTAAGACTCAGTGTCACGAGGGAATCTCAGCTGCTTGTGCATGCTGGCTTGGTAACATCAGGCGTTTGGTCTTATAGAGAGGTGAATGTCATGCTGAGGTGATGTTTGCAGAGAGGTTATATATGGCCTAAGCTTGGGGGAAGGAGTGCTGGTTACTGTAGAGCAGGCTCCCGGCTCACCAGTCCACTGAACACGATCCTCCCAAAGGGCCTGGGGGAGAAACAGCGTGGACGTTTCTCCCCAGGCTTCTGGTCGCAGTTCAGCCCCACCTTACTTCCTGGCTCTAGAGCTTTGTCTAGCAGTTACCCCCATGGGCAACATTTTAAAAAAACAGTTCTATTTTATTATTTTTTGAGATAGGCTCTCATTCTGTTGCCCAGGCTGGAGTGCAGTGGTGTGTTCATAGCTTGCTGTAGCCTCAAACTTCTGGACTCAAAGCTTGTCCTGCCTCGGCCTCCCAAATAGGTAGGACTGTAGGCACATGCCACCACACCCAGCTGGTTTTACTTTATTTTTTTTGTGGAGATGAGGTATCACTATGTTGCCCAGGCTGGTCTTGAACTCCTGCGTTCAAAGAGTCCCTCCACCTCAGCCTCCCAAAGTGCTGGGATTACAAGTGTGAGCTGCCACACTTGGCCAACCTTTTTATTTTAGAATAGTTTTAGATGCACAGAAAACTTGTGAAAATAGTACAGAGATTCCCATTTGTCCCCAACCAGTTTCTTTGTTAACATCCTGCGTTAGTGTGGTTGATTTGCCACAACTACTAAACCAATATTTATGCAATGTTAAAATAAGTTGACTTCATACTTTGAGATTTCCTGCGTTTTCTCCCTAATTTTTTGTTTTTATTTCCTGATCCCACAGGACATTACATGTCTCTTTAGGCTCCTCTTGGCCGTGACAGTTTCTCACACTTCCCAGTTTTTAATGACGGCAGTTTTGAGAGTACTGGTCAGGTATTTGTAGAATGCCCCTCATTTGGGATTTGTCTGATGTCTTTCTCATGATTACACTGGAGTCATGGGTTTTAGAGGGAAAGATCACAGAGGTACAGGTGCCTGGGTGACGTTTTCAGTCCTGTAGGCCTCCTGATGTGGCTGGAAGTTTCTGTGAAAGTGCTTAGGTCTTGTGGGGGATTGACTCCACCAACATAACACGCCGTGATGAAAACCAGGTTTCTACTCTCCAGCTCCTCCAGGCCAGTGTGGATTTCTAGTTTCTTGAGAATGACTGTTTTGGCTTTCTAAGACCTCAGTGTTTTTATGAAATCCTGCGTTTCCCCCAGAATGATTTCTACTTAACAAAGCACCTCCATGCACGGTTTACTGTGTTCGTTGTGGGAACTGCTCTGACAGCAGGTCAGTCCCCATGATGTCACCTCATGACTCCTGGGTCACACAGCCACTGTAGATGGTGGCTCGTCTGCAGAAAGGATCCCAGTTGAGTTTTATTTTGTTCAATTTCAGCAACCACACTTGTGTCACAGTTGGGGCCCAGTGGCTCCTAGGGTGAGCCTTCTCACTGTGTGGCTCTGCAAATTGGGACTTACACACATTCACTTGTTCCCAGTTCCTTCTCCTGGCCACAGCAGACTGCTGGCCTCACCCTCTGTGTGCTTTGTGGCCTCCTGTTTCGCCTCAGAGGAACACAGATGGTTTCCTTCCTCTTTTCATGGTGCTTCATGTCACCAGCTCCATGGCTGATTTGTCTAGGACAGTGTGATTCTCTCTTCCCTGCTGCTATCTCCTTTTCACTGAGACATCTCAGGCACTTCCAGGAAGCTCAGAGAACTTGTGGAATGTTTAAAGCAAAATTGGTTTTAGTTCACTTGAATTTTGTTGCTGTTTAAACCTGGATTTTGTATGCATGTTACACAGCACTTTTTGGTAGGAGGGAGTTTAGGGTGGTTGCAGGGAAGGCCTCAACATGGTAGGATTAGGTGTCTAGACTCCGTTTGCAGTCATTGGTACAGGCTCCCGGCTGACTCAGGTATGACTCAGCAGCCTTGTTCACTCTGGCTGGGTAAGGGCCTTCACAGACATTTTAAAAGAGAATAAAATAGTTTTATATGGACAACATTTTTCCTGTCCTTTGAAGGCAGAGGAATACCCAGTTGGGCTGGGCTTAAGCCAAATATGGTGTTCAACCTGACCAGACTTTCTGAGTCATGAAGATGTGGAGTTGCTTCTGTTTTCTCATTTGTCTCAGGTGAGAAAACAAAATGTTTGAAGACCAGTAGAAAGAAATTCTGACTACAGCTTTGGGTTTTATAGCTCGATTAGTGGGGAAACTGAGGAGCTATTGCTCTTGCTCAGATCCTTGTCTGTAGGTTCAGTACTTGGGTGCCTGCAGCAGCAGGAATCTCTGCCTTGGGTTAGTGATAAGTCACGTATGTCCACTGATACTCAGAGAGGATGCCATTGCATTCACTGGATGCTAACAGTGCAAGTTTGGACTTAGGTACTGGGTACAGAGAAAAAGGTTTAGACAGCCAGGGTCCGTTGATCAAATACCATGCGTATGACTGTGTGTAATACCATAAGAAGAAAGGGTGCATTAGACAGGGTCCCTTACGGAGTTCTAAGTCTCCTGGGGAGGTGGCTGTGTCTAGTGATAACCATGATACAAGGAAGAGATTGAAAAGCGTCATGAGCAAGGACTAAGGGTCACAGCAGAAGTTGTCATTTTATTTATGATGTGCCTAAGATACTGTCTTAAGAGCAAAGTTCTGATGAAAAATGATCGGCAGCAGGAAACTGACATATCCATGTAAAGGTATGTTATGTAGTCATTAAAAGGAATAGAGTAGATTCATGTATAACAAAATTATCTCCAAGACCTTTTGTAAGTCCTGCAACTCAGTAGCAAAACAAACAACAACATAACTAATAACCAGATTTGAAAATGGTCTAAGGACTCGAATAGACATTTCTTCAAAGAAGATATACAAATGGCTAACACGAGCTGGGCAAGGTGGCTCACGCCTGTAATCCGAGCACTTTGGGAGACCGAGGCAGGCAGATCACTTGAGGTCAGGAGTTGAAATTAGCCTGGCCAACATGGTGCAACCCTGTTTGTCCTAAAAACATAAAAATTAGCCGAGCATGGTGGCACACACCTCTAGTCCCAGCTGCTCAGGAGGCTGAGGCAGGAGAATCGTTTGAACCTGGGAGGCAGAGAGGTTGCAGTGAGCCAAAATCATGCCACTGCACTCCAGCCTGGCCAACAGAGTGAGAATCCACCTCAAGGAGCAAAGCAATAAATGGCCAACACATACATGAAAAAATACTCAATGTCAGTAGTCATCAGGGAAATGCAAATCAAAACCAGAGCGAAATGTCACCTCACACCTCTCAGGATGACTATTGATAGAAAAACAAAAGACAAAAAGTGTTTGTGAGGTTATGGAGAAATTGGAACCCTTGTACACCGCTTGTAGGAATGCAAACTGGTGCAGCCACTATGGAAAACAGTATGGAGGTTCCTCACAAAATTGAAAATAGAGCTACCATCTGACCCAGCAATTGCTTTTCTGTGTACTTCTCCAAGGGAATTGAAAGCAGGATCCTGAAGAGCCATTAGCACTGCCACACCCATTGCAGCATTCACAGTAGCCAAGATGTGGAAACGATGTAAATGGCCATTGACAGATGAATGGTTAAAGAAAATGTGGTACAGACATACACACATTGGAATATCGTTCAGCCTTAAAAGGAGAGAAATCCTGCGATGACATGGATGAATCTGGAGGACCCAACCTAAGTTAAATAAGCCAGGCACAGAAAGACGGAGACTGTCTGACTTCACTTACGTGAGGTAACTGTGGTACTCCGAATTCATAGAACCAAAGAGCGGAATGGTGGTTCTAGGGGCTGGGGCAAAGGGAAAATGTGGAGTCGCTATCAGAGGGCACAAAGGTGTCAGTTAGGCAAGAGGTGTGCTGTGCAACATCTACCTAGTTGGCATGCGAGAAATTTTGTTAAGAGGGTAGATCTCATATTAAGTATTCTTATCATAATAAAATTTTAAAAGGCAGGGCACAGTGGCTCACACCTGTAATCCCAGCACTTTGGGAGACCGAGGCAGGTGGATCACGAGGTCAGGAGTTCGACAGAAGCATGGCCAACATGGTGAAACCTCATCTGTACTAAAAATACAAAAAATTAGTTGGGCGTGGTGGCGTGTGCCTGTACTACTTGGGAGGCTGAGGCAGGAGAATCTCTTGAAAGCATGGAGGCAGAGATTGCGGTGAGCCGAGATCATGTTGCACTCTAGCCTGGGTGACAGAGCAAGACTCCATCTTGGAAAAAGAAAAAAAAGTAAAATGTGTTTTTACCGCCATAAACTAAAACACATATTACGTGAAAGAGATAGATGTAGAACAATGCATAGTCTGATCCTATTTGTGTGTGTGTGTATATGTATGTATATATATTCATCTTAAAATATATATATTGTATATATAGTGTATGCTGGATGATTCACAAAAAACTGTGAACAATGGTTTATTTTTGAGGAGTGGGACTGGTATTTTCTGTTTTATATCATTTCAAAGTATTTGCTTTTTAAAAACCATGTACTTTTTAAAGTGCTAGTTCATATCTTTTTAAAAAGGGTTTATTTTTTTTTTTGCTTTCCAATTTAGAATATTTTTCTGCACATTGTGGACTTGTCTGATCCCAAGCAAATCTGGAAATTTGTTGAAAAATTCAAGCAGGAACATAAACTCAATGTTCTGGTGAGCTTTGTAAACATACGTGGAGAACAAACTTCTGTTGGCATATTTTTTTAGTCTGTGTGGATGTGGACGAATATGTATGTTTGCGTGTCTTTATGGAAGAATCTTAGTAAGACTCTCTTGTGCTTGGGCCTGTTCATGTAATCAGATTTACTCTTTGGATTTGAGAGGAGACCCATGTAGTTAGATTAGTGGGGAAAGGAAGGGGACATCCTCTGGGTAGGTATTGTGGGAGGATAGATATGTTCCGTTTTTTAATAAAATGATTTGTATATAAATATTTCTTGGTTCTGTAGATTTGGGGATTGGTGTATTGAAATTAGAAGCTCTTTTAGTCCAAAAGAATACTGACTGCCGGCATGCAAATCGTTTAGTAACATAATTACCACAAAACTCCATGGGGTCCCTGGGTGGACTCAGATAGAAAGGTGCCAGTGTGCTCTTCCCAGATGCTCTGCTTTGAGCTAAGTTGCTTTTCTATCCAGAGTCTCTGATGTGCTCTAAAATGTTGTCCCAGAGTCTGGAATTGTGCTCTCCAGTGTAGCTGTGAAGCATCTGAAATGTCACTAGTCCAAACTGAGATGTGCTGTAAGTGTAAAAACTAGCAGGTTTCAAAGCCTTAAAAAAAACTATGTATTCCGTCTCATTAATATTCTGTATGGATTACATGTTAAAATGATGCTATTTTGGATATATTTTGTTAAATATATTAAATTAGTTTTACCTGTTTCTTGATACCTTTTTAATGTGGCTGCTAGGAAAGATTAGACACTTCGATTGGACAATTGTGGACTAGATGAATTTCCAGAGCACTCTCTCATGAATTAGGTTGCCTGGCCAAGCCCTCTCACTCAGCGATCTTTGCATAGTTCTGTGGCTGAGTCCTCTGCGCAAGTGGTATTCTCCTGTGAGGGGTTTGGAATGAAGAATGAATTGAGCAAATTGTCATTGTCACTTGAATGTTGAGAAACAGCTGGTGGTGGGGTAGTGGAGGTGTGGGGATGGAAATGGTCTTTTGGCCCTATTTTTCTTTATTTTTAAATGGGAACTATAATTTTTAGATCAATAATGCAGGTTGCATGATCAATAAAAGAGAACTCACAGAAGATGGACTTGAAAAAAACTTTGCTACTAATACTCTGGGTAAGTACAAGAAGTTTTCTTATTTGTTTTTAGGAAAATAAACATAGAATGTACCATAGGAGGATAAAAAAGAAAAAAACAAAAAACAACATTAACCAACTTTTTGGGCTCTGGGTCCTGGGCCTGACGACATTTGCTTTAAGTTTATCCTGAATCGTATTTATTTTTCTTCATAAAACACTTTCTCTTTTCATGTTTCTTATAAGGGGTGTTGGTGCCAGAAATACTTAGTATTGAAGTGTTTCTTTCCTAGGAAGCTCAAGGCTTTTTATAGATATTATTTTGAAGAGGAGACCAAGTTCAGCTTAAGTGTTGAGTGTAAATATAAAAACTGCAGCCAAGGAAACTTCCAGCCAGGGCTGAGGAAGGTGCATCCAATGGGCAAGAAGATGGACTGAGAAGGGCATTGGCTAGAGCACAGGATACCTGGGCCCTGGTTGCTACTCTGTAATAATAGAGTGAAGTCATTTTATACCAGGCCAGTGGCTCTCAAAGTGGGATTCCCAGACCAGCAGCATCAGCATCACCTGGGAACTTGGTAGACAGGCACAATCTTAGATTCCCCACCCAGATCTACAGACTCTGAAACTCTGGAATGAGGCTAAGAATTTAAATCCATTTTGACAGGCCTTCTGGATGATTCTGATGCGCACTAAAAATTGAGAACTGATGTACCATGCTTTTAGTCTCCTTGGATTTTCTCCTTGAGCCAAGGGGTCTGGAGTAGATTATCTTGCTGCCTTTTAGTTTTGAGATGCAGTGAATCTAAGACTCTTCCCAGGACCTATCTTACTTCTTTGTAGTGAGGGGGGTGTTTTAATTAAGTATTGTTCTGGGCCACAAGATGGATGGCAGGGGTTTGAGTGGTTGTTGGAGTCACTGAGGATATCCACCATATAGCAACCCTGTTCCCAACCAAGAGCTGAGCAAATTGAGGAGTGAGCCGATGGAATAACAGCTGAAAGCCAGTGTATCACTGTTGTTATGGCAAGGCATGGCTCAGTGCAAGAGCCAAATGGGTTTCCTCATAATGGAACCCAAGAATGAGAAGGATTCACCTACCTGGTCACCTGCTCTTCCTTCTGGGGGAAGAAGAGCAGGACTCCTCCCAGAAAGAAGAGAAAGGGAGGAAGAGAACTGAGCAAGCCCCGCTCATTGTCCCCACATTTACTGTTGTTGTTGTTGTTGTTTTGAGACAGGATCTTGGTCTGTTTCCGTGGCTAGAGTGCAGTGATGTGATCATGACCTATTGCAGCCTCGAACTCCTGGGCTCAAGCAGTCCTCCCACCTCAGCCTCCCAAGTCACTAGGACTACAGGCATGTACCACCATGCCTAATTTTTTTAATTAAAAATTTTTGTTGTTGTTGTGAAGGTGGGCTCTCACTGTGTTGCCCAGGCTGGTCTCAAACTCCTGGCCTCTAGCAATCCTCCTGCCTCAGCCTCCCAAAGTGTTGGGATTACAGGTGTGAGTCAGTGCATCCAGCCTAAATTTACTGTTGAAATGTGCTCCACCTCCCTGGCAGATGGAAGAAGGTCCTAGGGAGAAAGGACTCACCCTAATTGCACTCTCTTATCAAGGAAAGAAAGGCTAGGAGTGGGAAGATGCTTTCTCCCCAGTGATGAGGTTGCATTTTTTAACAGAAATACCTGGAAGCTTGTATGAAATGACACATTTACTACAAAATATTTTCATCGCTGACTTTGTTCCAAATGTGGTATGCTTGCCGAAATTACCAAAAATACCAAAATGTGGGGTCATGCTAGAGTTTGGTTCACAACTCGATGGGACAGCTGAGACTCCCAGAGTGCCACAGCTGGCCCCTGAGGCACTCTTTGGCAGAACTGGTTACATAATTTGCAGAGCCCAGCACCACATGGAAATGTGAGGCTCCATGTTCAAAAATTAAGGATTTCAATGTAGCGACAACAGAGCATTAAACCATGTGCAGGGTCCTTCTGAGTGCTGGGCTTTGTGTGACCTTGCAGGATGAAGCCAGCTCACCCATCTGCCCACCGTCTGACAAAATTGTGCCAAGTGTTTACTGCCGGGGCGTGAGTAAGAGTTGTGCACGCTTGTGCACGCACGCGTGCACACACACACACACACACTCTCTCTCACATTTAGTGCTATGATGGAGGTATTCCTACATTACAGATAGGGAAACTGAGGCTGAGAGAGATTGTTTCACTTGCCCAAGGTCAAGTGGAGAAGCCAGAATGTGAACCTTGGTCTGACTTCCTCCACAGCCCATGTTCATCACCATCGCACAGTTCCACCCACCCCAGCATGTCCTCCCTCACCCCATCATCGTGTTATCCTAAATAAGTGCTAAAGAGTACTGGGAGTGGGTGACCAGCTGAGCCAGGGAAGGCTGGGGCTGGGGGTACCTTTCAGAGAAGTCCAAAGGTTTTGGAAGGTGAAAAGGAGAGTAATCTGAGGAACTTGACCTTGCTTGGGAACATAGACAGGCTTGATAGACTGTAAAGGGACTGTCTGTCTGATTATGCAGCTGATTATGTTGCACCTTTGTAAGGATCCAGCCTGCATCTAAAGACCTTGCTATCTCTCCATTTTCATTTCCTATTTGTGTTAGAAGCATCTTATTGATCATTCCAATCTCTCTGAGAAGCGTAATAATTCCCGGGCTTGGATATTTATTCATCTTCTCTCAAGCGAAAGAAATAGTACACAAAGAGGCATGCCAGCACAGAGGGGCAGCTCCATGGGTCTTTGCTTGAGAGATGAGGAGATACAGAGAGGTTAAAGTGCCATGATTCCTCAGCAGAACCAGGCCAGACAAAAAACCCGGACCTCTGTCTGAGTCCAGGGAAATTGCTGGCTGCCTTTCTAATATGAAACATGTTTTCCTGGCCTGATTATGTAATGTGGGATAGGTTGTTTTCTATTTTCTAAGATTCATATGAGCCGTCAGAAACATTTGCAATCTCCAGCCAAACACCAGAAGGTTCCTGATACTCTGAGGAGAGCATAAACCTCAGCATTTGCAGGATTTATCACCAGATCCTAAGGGTTTTGAAGCTGGTGGAATAGTTAAATGCAAAATGCTTTCAGCACCCATGCTTGCACACGGCTTTGTTGAGACATCACAGTGTATGAATTAGATAGTTTGGAAAGAATAATTCTTAACCTTTTGCAGGGCGGGTGGGGCCTGGAGAGGTTTTCATAGCTTATTCTGAGGGACAAAAGTGAGCTGCCCTGGGTGGGTTGGTGGGCAGATGAGCCACAGAGAGGGAGAGATCACAGGAGACAGCTTCTGTTGGGTGGCAGTCACCCCTTTGTTTCAGGTCTCCTCCAGTCACATACGTTTTCCCTGTTAGCATTCAGTGGCATTAAGAGTCCATGAGGAGTGAAGACAGATGGGAGGGGGAGGACGGGGAGGCTGAGCTAAGTGCCCTGCTGGCAGCCTGGCACAGCCTAGCGTTAGCAGATTAAAACTCTCACCCGCATCTTAGCCTCTGTCACCACAGGACACAAGACGAGGACACTGATTCTATCTCTACCAGGACAGCTGCGTCACCAATTAATTGACTGTGATAAACAAGCAGTGGTGCCTTAGCTCTTTGGCAGACGGAGAGGAAGTTCGCCTTAGGTCACTTTGGAAGGACATACGTCAGGAGACAGAGTGTTGTCTCTTGACATTCTGTTACGTGGCGCCCTCCTCAGGGGCACGTCCCAGTGCCTAGTGAGAGCTGCTGTTCGACACAGGGATCCCAGGTCCAGAGATGCCTTCATAACAACAGCACACGCTGAGCACAGTCCATGTGCCCTGGGCTGCACTGAAGGCTCTTCTTGGATGCTCTCATTCAGTCTCATAACCATTTTACAGATTTTATAAATGAGGAAGCAGGCTCAGAGGTAGTCTGAAACCAGTTTGTGATTCACTTCATAAACAAAGGATAACAAAATGGGCTAGTGTAGGGTTGTATCGTTAGCTATTGCTACGAAACAACTCCAGAACCTCAGGGGCATACAGCGATAAGCATGCATTTTTGCTGACTCTTCTGCAGACCCACTGGGCAGGCTGATCTCAGCCGGGCTCAGCTGTGTGTCTCCAAGCTGCAGGTTTGGTGTGGAGTGTGTGCCAGATGTCTTGCATCTCCTTGACCAAGCTGTACTCTCAGGGCAACGACAGAGGCCCAGGTGTGCAAGCAATTCCAAGCCTCTGCTTGCATCCAAGCCCCTGTGATTAACTGGATATCAGTAGATGTCCAGTTAACCAATCCAGAAATCAGTAGATATCCAGTTAATCAAAGCAAACCATTTCACGGAGCCCCAAATCAAGCATCAGAGACGTATGTTTCTCCCACAGAGGTGGCGAGGAGAGAATGAATATTGTTGAACAATAATCTGTCGCAAGATTTTTTTTTTTTTTTACATTCTAATTCTTTGAAAATGGGTCATGTGAGTTTAATATGGTAACTATTTATTAATCAAAATACCAAGTGAACAAAGGCACCTTATTTGTTCCAGAAACTTTTTTTTTTTTTTTTTTTTTTTTTTTTTTTTTTTTTTTTTTTTTTTTTTTTTTTTTTTTTTTTTTTTNTTTTTGAGATGGAGTCTCGCTCTGTTACCCAGGCTGGAATGTAGTGGCACGATCTCAGCTCACTTTAACTTCCATCTCTCAGGTTCAAGCAATTAAGCAATTCTCCTGCCTCAGCCTCCTGAGTAGCCGGGACTACAGGTGCACACCACCACACCCATCTAATTTTTTTATTTTTAGTAGAGACGGGATTTCACTATGTTGGCCAAGCTGGTCTCGAACTCCTGACCTCAGGTGATCCATCTGCCTCGGCCTCCCAAATTGCTGGGATTACAGGCGTGAGCCACCACAACCGGCCTGTTCCATAAACATTTATAAAGTGTCCATTTTATGCCAGATGCTGTGGCCAGTTATAGGGATCAAGAAATGGAATGGACTGCTGGCCTTGTGGGGGCATTAGACACATACACAATTTCAGTAGTCATATGGTAAAGTTC